CTGGCTAGGTAGGGTGACCAACCATTTCAGTTTGCATTGGTTTCCTGGGACCAGAAAAGTCCTCAGCAAACCAGTATAAGTTGGTCACCCTAGTCTGACAAACCTCAGAAGATTTGATTTATTTCAAACTGAATCTCCATCTTAAAGAAAGCCAAAATACACAATACATCATGAGGTTAGACAGCTCTCTGATGACTTACATCATGGCTTCACAGGTGTGGTTTGTCCTTTCCTAGGGAATGCATCAGACATCATACAGATCTGCATAGAAATACAGTTGTAAACCTTTCACACAAATTTAAAGTCAGATTCACCAAGCTAAAGTATTGGTGTCTTCTATTCAGAAATTTCTTGGCAATGTAAATCAAAAGCTGGCAATAACTTTCATTTTTTTAACATCATACTATACATGAAATACTCTGTTAGTCCTTAAAACATAAAATTGAGATACATTCTCCATTCTCAATGAGCTCAGAGTGGATTATAGGAGACAGATACATAAATAAATAACTATATTATTTTGTGACAAGTGTTAGGGAAAGATTATGGCAGTTTGAGGACCAGTCTTTGATAATCTTTTTTGGTGTTTTTATTGCAAAAGTATTGTGCAAAGACAGAATAAAAGGAAGGGATAAATCATTTTGGAATATTAAATGAATCTTATTTTAAAGTCTTGTTTAAGGGATGTCCCAAACTTTGTACTTTATAAAAATAAGATAATAATAATAATAATAATATTCTCAAGAAGTTAAGAATTAAATTTTATAATATTTTATGCTTCCTAGATGAAAAGTGCTACAGAGGTTGGGATATTCATTTTATATGGTAATTGTTAACCTCAGAAGCTTTCTCAGCACCACTAGATCAGGGAACTCTTTCCTCTGTACCCAGCTGTCATTTGTGAAATAGCAATATGTGCTTTGTGTTAAAATGTAAATGCTAAAATTCCCTTGGGATTGAATATGTGATAACACATTTAAATCTTGAGAAGTAGTTATCGTGATTTCTTTGTTCAGTGGAAACAAAAAATCCAAAAATTAAATTTTGGTATTCTAGATACATGATAGTATATAGGTTTTCCAAAGCTAACAACTGATCTATAAGATTTTTTTTTTCTTTTTAATCCTTAGGGATATTTTATCTTCCATTGTTGCTTGAATTTGTTAAGAAATCATATGTGAAATTAAATTTAAGTGGGAAAATATTTTGTTACTGGAAGGCCTTTTTTTAAAGAAGTTATTTCACTTTCTTTAAAGCACTTTTAACTTTCTTTTGAATTAGTACATGTTTTTGTTTAAAAAAAATCAAATACCAAAGCAAGAACGCAAAACCAGGACTTAAAAAAAGCCTTTACTCATTTCCTTATTTTGTGCTACATGGACCTATGGTAAAGTAGCACCCACAGTTTTATAACAGAGTTGTCATCAGTTGTCACTATTGTAGCTAGGCATGTAGGATAACTTAAAGCTATCTTAAATGCTTTATGCTCCCCGCGGATCTGTATCAGAAAAAGCAAAGATATATATGGCTTTTTTTTTTTTTTTTTTAAGGCCTGGTTTTAAGTAGAAAACTGAATTTGGGAGTTTCTTTAATTAAGGATTCTTTCTTGTAAATGTTTTACAATATGAAAATATTAGTAATAGTATTTTTCTTACTGCAAAATATTATTTAGATAGACTTTTAGAAAGACTTTTTGTATTTACAATTATTCCATATTTTACCACTGTACATGTTTGACTTTTAAAACATTTCAAAAAAAAAATCTCTTTAAGAATAAATTTGGGGAGTATAAACTGGCAGTGTATAATGTCTTAAATGTTGGATTCTTATGTTTACTAGTTTACTAGTTTACAACCACCACAAAAATATCAAATAGCATGTGTATTTTACAAATGGGTCTGCTTTATATTTTTTCAAAACTGAAATTACACTCCGTTAATTATCCTAGCATTTAGAAAATTACTTTTATCATCACTTTGCCACTTGACAATTGGGATGTAAAGCTGCCACTATGTGGTAGCTATTCACTACATGTAGTCTAGGCCACGTGATCTTAATTGCTTTGTATCAAAAGATAGCATTTGGTGTATAATGTTTAGTTGTAAATATTTTTCTGGAGGAAATATTTCTGGGCTCTTCGTAGTATAAGCTTGTTTAAATCATCCTTTGTTCTCACACTGTTTGGTTTGTTGGCTTTTTGCTTCCTACCATTTCCTCAAATTTATTGCATGCATTTTACAGATTTTTATGTGCATTCTAGTGATTCTATTTAGTTTGCATAATTAGCATTCACATTAGAATGACTACTTGAAAAATCTCATTCATCTTGTTCTATACTCACTCACCCTGGGGATTCATCCCCTCCCATGGCTCAGCTACCTCTGCTTGGATGTTGCTACCAATTTTGCTAACTGACACTGTCATTAACTCTCTCCTAGATTAGTCCTGCACTCTTCTCTTCATGTCTGCCTGTCACTGGGTTTGCCCTCCCCCTCCAATGCATTATCTATAGAGTAACTAGAGTGTTCTTTCTAAAACTTGAGTCTTAAGTAATTTTCTGCTTAAAGTCTTTCAGGGATTTCCCATTGTTCTTATAATCTCTCCCAATCTCATACTGTACTTAACCACTGAAATTTTTTTAGTTTCTCAATTGTACCATGTCCACTGGGTATTAATATGTGCTTCCACACTACCTGGAATAAATAAAGTTCCTCATCCTTTTGCCTCAGTGATTTGTTTATGCTCGTCTCCTTTTGGAAGCAATTCTGAGAATCTTCCCTGACCCACTCCTTTCTACTTGCCTCTGGAGTGGTTTAGTGTATGTCCTCTAGCCTCTCATGCCATCCTGAACTTCCCTTTGAAGTCATCACATTTATTCCTATTTGTCTGCTTTCTCTAGTTGACACCTCAGAAATAGAAAATTTCCCCCTCATCCTTTGTCCTCCCACATAAAAAATTATTTTATATGTATTTCATTTAGGGACTTTCTGTTTTTAAGGAATAAGAAAACTCCTAAAGGCATACTATGGAACCTTTCTTTTGCCCATGCTATCCCTAGCACTTAACATGGTGCCAGATACATGACAGATGCTGACATTGTCATGAGTACCAGTGATGACCAAATTTGTGCCCAGCTTTTACCTCTCCTGAATTATAGACCCATTACCACTAGGGGGTATCAGGCACTTCAAATTCAATACATCCAGACCTCAGACTCTTTCCCTCGGAGTTCCTTTCCTTCCCCTCCCATCTCCTCTCTTCTCTCTTCCTGACTCCCCTATTCCCTTCCCTTCATCTGCCACTGACATTTCCAAAATGGAACTTTTGTACCCCTTGCTATCTATATCAGTCAGTTATCAGAGTCAATTAATTCTTCTGCCTCGTAATTTTTGACACTCACCCCTCAACTCCATTTATTCACAATTGCTTTATTCCAGGCCTCCTTCTACCTTATCAGTTACAGAACCTTCTAAATTATTTGTTATTTGAATTTTAGCACTTTAAAACCTAAATATATTATCATTTTAAAGCATTATAAATAATTTTTAATCTCAAAATGATTTTTAAAAATTTAGAAACTAGATATTTAAATGTTTTATCCTTCTAAATAAATACTGTGTATATGTATTTATTTAGTCAGTTCATTTTCAAGAATAAAAAGTAAAAGCTATTAATTGAATCAACTATACATAAAATTTTTAATTTTATTTCTGTTTTACACATGAAGAAGCTGAGATACATAGGTAATATGACTTCCACAGTTTCATAAGATCCAGGAGTATAACCATGTTTCCTGACTTCCTATTCAGGATTCTTAAAATCTGGATGGTCTCTTCATTATTAGCTGTAGATTGCTCAGAAATATTTCTTAAACTTAGAGGCTGACAGAATATATAAAATGTGTAGAGTACTATGAACAAAGTAATAGATAATAAATATTTTGTAATCCTTTTGTATCTTGACATTTAGAGTATACGTAAATAAAATACTTTTATGAGAGTACATAAAAGTATATTAGTCCCTGTTTGGAAAGATGTTGCAGTATTTAAACTTTTAAGTAAATTAGCAAGTAGAAAAATCGCTATGGTTGTAGAGAACCTTTTAATTAAAATCATGTTATTTCTAATTTATTAAAAAGATTAATTTTGATTTTTAAAAATTATTAAGCTTTAATAGAGAATCTTTTACTAATTTGGTTCAAATTACAATGTGGCAGAAATTAGTTAGGAAGAAACGATATTTTCCTTTTGTATTTATACTGCATGTGTAGTGTATGAAATAGAGGGTATAAATACTACGTTGGCATATTTCATTGCATGTAGCAAATTAGTTTTGACCCATTGCTAGCAACTTCTTGGAATGAATATTGTCCATTGTCCTTTTTATTTCTACTAAAGTTTCTTCAAATAGTTCTTTAGGGAGATTTTTCAACCTTTCCTATTAAAGAGAAATTTTGAGAGCTACATCTTTAAGTTAGTTTTTTTGATAGAACTGGATTTGAAAAGTTACAACTTGAAAGGTGGACAAGATTTAAATAGGACAAAGAAGCATGTTTTCGGTTATAAGGGATGTAAGCCCTGACATGTCTCTGGTTCTTGCTAGAAAGAAGAAAGAAATAATATGGGGAGGTTATAGTAGGGCTTGATTACTGAAGAAGGCCTTGGTAAGCATGCATATAAGCATAGCCAATGGATACAGACACGAGGGGGCTGAGGGCATGTGCTGGTGGGGGCGAAGGGGGCGGTGTCAGGGAGGGGGGAAGTCAATAGGGAAAAAAGGAGACATATGTAATACTTTAAACAATAAAAAAAAAAAGTAGGAGAACAAGGGGCATGGCACTGAAGTTAGAATTTACTCCTGAAGTGAGTGAATTGTCTCTTACTCAATTAGGAAATAGGAAATTTTGGCACTTTAACTCAGTATGTTTTGTGTATGTCAATATTCATTGTGTTAAAGCTAAACAAATTCAGGAGTGGATGTGTTTTTCTTCTGTTTTCTAGTCTACGCCTTTACATCTTGCCGCGGGCTACAACAGAGTTCGGATAGTTCAGCTGCTGCTTCAGCATGGTGCTGATGTTCATGCAAAAGACAAAGGGTAGGTGGAGCAGTTTATTTCCTTTAATGGTTTTGCTCATGGATTGTTATGCTTTGTTTTCAATATCTTACATGCTGAAGTTGTTGAACACTAGGCAAAGTAAGTCATATAGACCATTTCTTTACAGCTTGTGTAGCATTTTAAGAATGTTTGCAACTTTGATTTTATATTATTTTCACATACTACTTCTTATAATAATTTCCTAAATTAGTTTAATTTTATTGAAATTCTACTACTTAAAATTTGTTTCAATTGTAATTATTATTTAACTCAAGTTACATTTCAGAAAGACAAGACAAATTGAAAATTATGATAATCTATTAATATAGCTAGGTATCATTCATCTGGAATGAAAGGATTATCTCTTACTAATAAACCAAAATCATAAGTAACAGTATTCTAATTTGTTTTTTCCTGATGAAATCTTGGGCATCTGAACTTAGAAAATCTAAAAGATCCTTATGAAGGTTGATGTGGTGAGGGTTGAAGAGTTGGGGCAGAGGGAACAAGAAAGCAGTTATGTTATTTACTTTATGAGTAAGTGTATTTTGGAAAACTTTGTACGAGTTTCCTATCTAGTCTCCAGGGACATATGAATCAAGTTTGCTGTCCTGTGTGGGGGGCTAACATTTCTCATTATCCCACCTTAAGATCTAAAAGATAATTTGACTTTACTACCTAGGTCAATAGATTCATATTACACTCTTGTGATTGGCAGCATAAAGAAGAGAAGCCCTGGAGGAGGTTTCTTTCAGTTTGCCCCTTTCCATGTCAGGAAACAGAAATAAAGAAAGAACTCGGTACTTGAGACAGTTACCCGAGGGGAAATCCATTCATTCCAAATCTGCTCTTTTCAGTACTGTGTTCTCTTGCCTGCGCCAGGTTTTGTGCCATATGTGAATGGTGTCCCGATAGTATAGGGCTACAAATGCCTGATGTTCTTGTACATCTCTGTTTCCTTGTGCATGTCTAAAAACAGATGGATGTACAATAGGTGAGTCATCAAGAGAAGCACAGCACAAAAAGGGGTCTTTGACTCATGTAGAAAGATACTTTGAAATGAAAGTTATAGTAGTTTGGATATTTAACTCTTGTGCTGATACTTACTTTGAAAATAAAACAAAAGAGTAGGAATATTCAATTCTCTATCAATTAACATTTATTTAATATAAACACTTCATATATAAAGCATGCAATTGTCGGTTAGCACATGTTCTTCATTTTGCCTAAATGCTTCTCTAATTGGTGTTTTTATCATTATATTTAAGGATTGTATACACAAAATACAAAGGAAATACAAAAGGTTAAATTATCTGTGCTTTGAATCATCTTATTAAATAGTTTTAAATGTTTTTAACATAATTGTATTAGGATTTATTAGATTTTTGTTGCTTAGCACTTCTTGGGTAAATAATTATAAGTTGTTTGAAATTTTAGTATTTTAATTTGCCTTTTTTCATTTAGTGGACTTGTGCCTCTTCATAATGCATGTTCATATGGACATTATGAAGTCACAGAACTGCTACTAAAGGTAAACGAAATAAAAAATAGTGAATTTCATTTGCTCATTTTAACTTGTCATGAGTTTTCATGTGTTTGTTAGAGGCCTGGTGCACGAAATTGGTGCACTGGTGGGGGGAGGTGTCCCTCAGCTCAGCCTGCACCCTCTCCAATCTGGGACCCCTCAGGGGATGTCTGACTGCCAGATATTGGGCCTAAACTGGCAATTAGACATCCCTCTCAAAATTCTGGACCGCTGGTTCCTAATTGCTCATTTGCCTACCTGCCTGGTTGCCACTAACTGCCCCCCATCCCTGCCAGCCTGATAACCACTCACTGCCTCTGCATGCTGGCCTGATCACCCCTAACTGCCCTCCTCTGCCAGCCTGGTTGCCCCCAACAGCCCCCTCCCTGCCAGTCTGGTTGCACCTAACTGACCCCTCCCTCACCAGCGTGGTCACCCCTTACTGTCCCCCCCTGCTGGCTTGATTGTCCCCAACTGCCCCCCTTTACCAGTCTTGTCGCCCCCAGCTGCCCCCTGCCAACCTAGTCACCCCTCACTGACCCCCTTCCAGCCTAGTCACCCCCAACTGCCCCCCCCCTTGCCGGCCTGGTTGCCCCCAACTGCACCCCCCCACACCAGCCTGGTTGCCCCTAGCTATCCTCCCCCACTGGCCTGGTTGCCTCTTACTATCCCCCCTGCTGGCCTTGTTGCCCCCAACAGCCCTCCCCTGCCTGCCTGGTTGTAGGCAGTCATCTTGTGAGGGTGTGAGGATTTCCATATTATCTCTTTATTATATAGTATTAGTGAATAAAATTTTTAAGAAAGGCAGTTTTTAAAATGTTATCATTGCCTTAAACTGTTTTAAAAAGCTGAAATTAAAATATTGCTGACCTTTCAAAGAGTTGTAACTGAATTTTACAGTGAAATAAATGTCTTCTGAGTTTTATCTAATCCAGCAAAATGATTACTGACCTAAAACTTTTTCTCTTAATTCAGCATGGAGCCTGTGTTAATGCTATGGATCTCTGGCAATTTACTCCTCTGCATGAGGCTGCTTCCAAGAATCGTGTAGAAGTCTGCTCTCTGTTGCTTAGCCATGGCGCTGATCCTACATTGGTCAATTGCCATGGGAAAAGTGCTGTGGATATGGCTCCAACTCCTGAGCTCCGGGAGAGATTGACTTGTATGTATTTATATCCTGAAGTCAAAATTGTTTGCTGCAAATTAGACTGTCTCACTTCTGTTTAGTTATAAGGGCTGGTGTTTTGTCTAACTTGGATGATATGCTTCCATTCTTCTATATACACTAGTTTATAATCATCATTTCTGATCATAATCTTGTCTTCATGATTCTACAGGAATCTTAAATTTATATACTCTATATATTTTGTGTTTATTCAAGCCTAATTCTAATTCACAAGTTGAGGCTCCCTCCTCCCCCCCCCCTTTTTTTTTTTTAATAAAGGATGAGTTAATCAATAACCATATAATGAATACCTACTATCTGCTATGCACTGGAAATATATCTGAATAAAACCAGAAAAAAATCTGAGTTCATAGAGCTTATATTCCTGTGCTGTTGGTAATAATAGATGACATCAAGTTTACACAATTCTGTTTTACTTTTTTTGTGTGTTATAGCCCAAGTGAAATAACTTGCCCACATTTACGTGAGATAATTTTTATGATTTGGAGGAAGTAATCCAAAATGCTGATAATTTGAATTCAGTTTAAATTTCTCTAGACTTATGGATAAGCCAAGCAAAACCATGCTTCTTATTTGAAATTTGTTCTGAATACATCACCTTACTTTGCAGTTGTCAGGATCCTACTCCTTACATATGACAGTTTATAATTCTCTCAAGTATGTTTTTATATGTCTTTTGGTTATCTGTGTCTTTGGAGAATAATTTTCAGCTTTTTGTTAATAAGTTGTCATATCAGAATTAAACCAAACTTATAAAATAGAAAATAAGACTATATGTGTTTAATAAATAAGAGTATCGGCTTCTTATTTACGTAATTAATTTAGAAATCCCTTTTAAAAAATCTCTTACTTGATTATAGCAATAATCATTACATTTATTGGTGGAGGGAATAGTAGTACAGCACACAAAAATTTGGTCTGCTTAGCCTTCCTCTTTTGTTACTTGAGTTTTCATTTAATAATACATGCTTTCATGTCAGTAAATGTTGGTCTGTTTTGTTTTTTAAGAGCTGTATAAAATGTATAAGTGTTCACAAATTATTTAACTAGTTTCCATTTGGTGGACAGTTAGGGTGCTTGTTTGAAAACTTTCCTGGAGTGAGTATATTGGTATGTGTATCTTTATGAATTCTAGGAGGATAAAAAGCCTTATTTCAGAGCATACATAATTCTTAATTTTTCATTAACCTACACCCTCATCCTTTGCACCTTCATCATCATATCGCCATGCTGCTGCTGTTGCTAAAATAGAGGACTGTGTAAAGTTAAGAATTGTCTTAATTTAAATTATGCTAATAATTTCTATAAATTTAAAATTTTTATTTCAACCATTATTTTATTAACAGATGAATTTAAAGGTCATTCTTTATTACAAGCAGCAAGAGAAGCAGACCTAGCCAAAGTTAAGAAAACACTTGCCTTGGAAATCATTAATTTCAAACAACCACAGTCTCATGAAACTGCACTGGTAAGATTTTATTGTTAATCCATCTTGAGGGTTGATAATTGCAGTGTGAGCACAAAATATAATTTTTATTTCACAAACCTTAAAGTAACTGTGGTATCTAAAGTGACAGGGATTTGCATTTTAATGGTTGCATTGATTTTTAATTTGGTTCAGGAGGCTGTTGCTTTCATGGGTGAGAGGATAGACTTGCTCAACCTTAATTTGGGAATTAATTTTACATTTGCCTTTACCCAACCATATTGTAACAAATCCACCTTTGTGGCCAATGCTTTCAGAAATGCAAGATGTGATTTTTCTCTATAGAATCTTCTTTTTCTTGTGGTTAGTTGATAAATATATTTGTTTTCTATAGATGATTAGAGTATTTTCAGAGATACTTCAATTTTCCTTTTGAGCAATCGTATTTATTTGTTTTCTATAGAAAATTAAAATATTTTCAAAGATTCTTGCATTATTCTTGTGAGCAATCATATTCAAAGAATTATTATATTCATTATAGAAAATGGTAAGACTGTGCATTTTTTGTTCCAGACCATACCAATTGTCTTTTAAATTGAAACATTTGTGATGCCTCTATCACAGACCTCTAAATATACTTCAGTTAACATTCTCTCATATATCTGGCACATTCTCTCATATAATTGTCATCAAATCATATGGAAACATTAAAAGAGTTACCAAACTGAAATGGGTCAATTCTATGTACATCTAAATATGTGGCTCAAACGGGGGTTCAGAGACATTCATGCTACACAGCATTATTCCAGGTGATACTCAAATCATAGAATAACCTTGACCTGCTTTTTGGAGTGTTCATTTTATTCATTAGAAATTAGTTTTTTATTTTTTAAATTTTAATGCAAACATTAATATAAGATGAAGTTGAATATAAATATGGGATAAAACATAGAATTTCTGAGAATACGTCTCCCTCTAAGCTCTTGGAGGTCTCTTACCTTCATGCCTCCCTAGGCACACAGGCTTATTTATTCTTCTGAATTGCTGAGAGTACCTCTGTGAAAAAGGAGGAGAAATATTGATTACGTGGCTGATGGTCTAATAAAGAATTGAGAAATTTAATTACAGATTTTTGTAGCTTTGGAGAGGCAGTCTTCTGATACCTACAAGTAAATATGGACTGGATGATTATTTATTGGCTAAAGGAAAAGATAAAAGTATTTCTTAGTGCTTAACCAAGAGCATAATTTTATCTTGCTGCCAGGTTTATGTTTTGCGCTCCCAGTGTATTATATTTAGGAGGAATGTTGATCAACTTCATAATGTAAAATGTATAAGTATACTTTGAGATAACAATGTTCAGCACATTGCTATTTAATTCACAAATCTACTTTTAACTAGAAGTTTATTTTATTGACTTTTATTTACAGCACTGTGCTGTGGCCTCTCTGCATCCCAAACGAAAGCAAGTGACAGAATTGTTACTTAGAAAAGGAGCAAATGTTAATGAAAAAAATAAAGAGTAAGTGTAATTGCAGTTGTTCAATTCCTAAAGGGGAAATGCAGTAAAAGTTAGTAAACCGCCTCTCCTTTTCCCCTCTCCATAGTTTCATGACTCCCCTGCATGTCGCGGCAGAAAGAGCTCACAACGATGTCATGGAGGTTCTGCATAAGCACGGAGCAAAGGTAAGGCACCCGCCTGAAATGAAGTGCCAGACGTGTCATTGAGTAGCTAGCTGCTCTTAATTAAGACTGTTAACTTCTTCAGGAAAATCAGAGAGAAAGTAATTTTATAAAAGACGGTTAGCATGTATTTGAATTCATTGATTCTCCTTTAAAAGCTGGTTTAAGTCTTGTTCCTAGTAAAAATAATTTGTGTTTTACTGTAATTTACTGTTATTCTTCTATAAAGTAATAAAATGTAATTGCAGTCTTATTATTTGAAATATATTTCAACTTTATATTGTTTTATGTTAATACTGGAATTAATATATTTTATAGTTAACATCAGTGATGGTTTACGGAAATGTTAGTCAAAATCTCACTCACTTATTTTAAAGAATATCTGTATTCCTTCACACTCATACTGGTAATTTTTTTTTTTCAAATAACCTCAACATTAAAGAATTTTTTTAAAAAATATATTTTATTGATTTTTCACAGAGAGGAAGAGAGAGATAGAGAGTTAGAAACATCGATGAGAGAGAATCATCAATCAGCTGCCTCTTGCACACCCCCCACCGGGGATGAGCCCACAACCAAGGTACATGCCCTTGCCCGGAATCGAACCCGGGACCCTCAGTCCGCAGACCAACGCTCTACCACTGAGCCAAACCGGTCCCGGCAACATTAAAGAATTTTAATTTGTTAAAATACTATTCTTTATTTAAGAATAAAGAACTTGAAATGGCCGGAACCGGTTTGGTTCAGTGGATAGAGCGTCAGCCTGCGGACTGAAAGGTCCCGGGTTCGATTCCGGTCAAGGGCATGTACCTTGGTTGCGGGCACATCCTCAGAAGGGGGTATGCAAGAGGCAGCTGATCGATGATTCTCTCTCATCGATGTTTCTAACTCTCTATCCCTCTCTCTTCCTCTCTGTGAAAAATCAATAAAATATATTAAAAAGAAAAAAAAGAACTTGAAATGTATTAATACTTAATACATAGGTTGTTGCAGGCAGCCTCATTAGGTCCAAGTGTCAACCTGAGTCACATCTACGCCCAAGGTGTTTCCGAAGGCAAAATGGGAGTTTGAGAAGGAGGGATTGACAGGGAGGCACAGTGCTGTAAAGTAAATAAAAGTCAGTAAAATAAACTATTTTAAAGTAGATTTCTGAATTAAATAGCAATGTGCTCAACATTGTTATCTCAAAGTATACTTACATATTTTACATTATGAAAATTATCAAAATTCCTCCTAAATACACTGGAAGTACAAAACGTACCCCAGATGGAAAAACTCATTTGTTCATTTCAGCATGTTGTGACATATTGCACTTTACATATGTACAAATCAGTAGATTTATAGACATTATCCTAAAAGTGGAACCATCATGATACCATTGTTGATAATCAAAGGGAATGGCCATGACAGTCTTATAGCATAAAGAGCTTGTCTGGCTATTTTATGAATTAATATTTTCAGAAAATCATAGTGTTGTGCTTTTTTAAATGAAAATAAGAGAGTTCAAAATTTGCTGGTAGTTTAACAACAAATGACCATTACTTATATGTAGGTATCTTTTCAAAAAAAAGAAACATAATCAGACCCATTAAGGTAAAAGTTACATATTTTAGAGTGAATGAGAAAGTGAACCATCAAGGATATTTTGAAAATAGAACTTTAGAAATGTCCACTTTTTTATTTTTATTTTGTTGCCCCAAAAATGATATAGCTGTTGTATCTACATAATTTAAAAACTTGAGAAAACAAATTTATAAACTTTTTTAAAAGTTTTTCTTAATTTGTGATTAGATTTTTTTATCTTTTAAAAATATTATAATGCAGCATCTCCTAAGAAATTTGTAAGAACATCAACAAGTAGGCAATTTTGCTAACAGAATTTCAAATAAAACCTTAGAGTAATCAGTGAATTTCATTAAAAATAAGCAATGTGATTTTAGAAGGCATGAACTTTTTCAGTGGTTCTGCATATCTGAGTAGAACCTTTTCAGCTGTTGGGACCAACTATTGAAAATGAATTTAGAATCAGACCCTCAAATCTACATTACAGTTTTTTATAAGATTTTTCATTTTTAAAAAATTGAACCAAAAGATACTTTATACCATTGGTAATTAAAATATTTTAAAATTTTAATTATTCCATCTCTTTCCCATTCTTTATAAATTATTTTGCATGAGTGTTATACATATTTATTATACACTGGAGGCCCAGTGCATGGATTTGTGCTCAGGTGGGATCCCTTGGCCTGGCCTGCGCCCTCTTGCAATCCAGGACTCTTCAGGGGATGTTGGAGGACTGGTGCACAGGTTTGGCCTGATCCCCACAGGCCAGGCCGAGGGACCCACAGGTGCACAAAAATCTGTACACAGGGCCTCTAGTATGCATATCAGATCTTTGGTTAATCACTTCCCACCCTCCCTGCCCCCTTCCCTTTGAGAGTCATCAGACTTCCATGTTTTCATGCCTGTGCATTGAGCATCTTCCCCCTAGTGGTCAGTGCACATCATAGCTACCAGTCAAATGGCCACTTAGGTTTTTATATAGAGAGATTGGTATAGCACAGCTTGGCTGTAATTTACAAATGAGCACGTGAATATTTATTCATGAAGTACATCATCCAAAAACAACAATTGTTTTTTATTACAAAAATCAAGATGAGCTAGCATGAAAGGGAATGGTGTTCTACAGATTTAAACCTGTTTTGAGGGTACCATATTGTATTGTTATATACATAATGTCTTGTTGCTTTTCAAGCAGCAAATATTAAGCTTAGTGGGCTTTCTATACTTAAGAGCATCATATGTTTATCATTGACCTATTTTTAAAAATATCTTATGTCATTTCTAATGTTCCTTAAAAACCATGAATAATGCTTTTCATATTGGGAAAATATCTATTTGTTGTCTCCCATGAGTCATTTTATCTCATGAAGGTTCAGTGAAAAATAACATTATTTCATAGCCTATCCTAGTCAGCATTACTCTAGGTCTATGGTTCTCAATCCCTGCCCTTCATGTTCACATTCTTATCAATAATGTCAAAATTCATCGGTGGGGCAGGTATTATTTTAAACACCCTAACAGTGATGTAGAATGACTTTTAAAGTAGTATATTGCCTCTAGTCTTTCCACTACAGTTCAATTGAATTGAGAATGCCTGCTATTAGTTACATTAAACAGAGTGGGAGAACTATTTAATCAGGATTATGAACCAATGGATACCAATTGCCATCCTCACATTCACTCATGCCCTGGTTCTAAGACAGGCTACTATCCCTCCGGGTTGTTTTATCTGATGACAAATGCATTAGTAAAAACCCAACTTAGCTTCTGTGGGCCCCAGAACACAGGCAGGCATATTTGTCAGAGAAAAAGAGAATATGAATGAGACTTCAGTTTGTTCAGCACAGCTGTTGGATAGGCACCCTCTAGTCTAATCAGCTATGCTCAAGGAGTTATTTCTCAGGCACTTAGGGTTTGTGAGAAGGTAAGAACCCCTTTACTAAATAAAGCAAACAAATCATATACTGTTTTAATATTTATGCATCCCTCTTTACAGAGAATTTGATTGTTTCATTTTAAATCCCACATAAATTTTGAAGGTTCACAAATGACAATACATTCAAATTTAGCTAAAAAGAATTTATTAGAAGTTATGATTAGTCCATTGGGGACAGAAAAGGAATAGTAATGAAAATCTGAAAGGATAGTTTGAAGCAAAATCTTGATAGTCTCAATTGGAGAGTTTTGATTTTGTTCTCATAGTACTTGGAGAGCCATTGGAAAGTTTGAATAGGTATGGGTGAACAGAATCCTGATTCAGTAAGATACTTTCTCTTAGAAAACCAATTACAGAAATATAGACTCAAGGTACACATATATGATCATTTAGCAATATTCAATAAAAATGGCTTTTTAATATTTCTGAAAGGAGGCATGATATCAAGATAATGTTTTTTACCTCCAGATTATAGAAGTTATAATATGCCTGCCAACTGTTTGAAGTTATGATTAGGTTAGTTAAATGGGTTATAGTCTATTCTAGATTCCTATCTTTTGTTCCTCTATTGTATGTTCATTACCTCCTGTTAATATTTTTTTATTGTACACTTTCACTGCAAGGTGTCCTGATTTAGGGGGAAAATACACATTGTCACTCTAGCTAAAGGAATACAAAGACTAGTGTCAGCTCTCAGGTACTTAAAATCAGGTTAAGATTTAGACATACATATGTTTTCTTAAAGTTACAATGTGAGTTAACAGTAAATGCTTGATTACAGAAATGTCACAGAATAGTTCATGATTACCTACCAAATGAGTGAAATGGACAAGGAGAGCTTTAAATTTAGTAGAGAAATGAACTCAGCCTCAAGCTTAGCTCTTTGAGACTGGATTATTTCACACTGAAAGGTTCTCCTTAGCCAGTGCCTTATAGTCTGCTTGCTCGTTTCCAGGACTGTTTTGGCATGTTTGAATCATAATTTTATGTCCTATACATTTTAAGCCAGATACCATTGAAATTTCTATCATTTATCCAATTAGCCTCTTTAGGAAAGTTATTATTACTACTCAGATAGAAATAAAGATATACAGTATACCTCAGGTTGCTATCTCTAGATAGCAACAGAGAGGGCGGGGAGGGAATCTGTTTTGTCTCTAAAACTGCCAGACATCTGTTATTTTTCTGACACCTTATACAGTTGGAGTATAACACATTAAATGTAGCATTTTTCTTTTTTGAGGCAGTTTCTGTACTTCAGTGAAAATAGTGCTGAATAGTAAGCATTTCTGATGGCATCCTCTATCATATCCTAATAGTGGATATTTTGATAGAGAAAAATAGAACTGGGTCTAAAAAAGACTTGATCAGAAAAACTGATTTAACATTCCCACACTTCTTCAATAAGTATATATTTGGTAGTTGCAAATAATATTAAGAATTAAAGTTTTATAACTTTAAAATATGGAGAGTAAATTAATGATGGTGTGTATTAAATAAATCTGTCATATATTTTAGTTTGAAAACAAATTATAGACAGCAGTACATACATACATTTTAATTTGAAAGCTTGGGGGTGACCAAATGCCTGAGCAGCAGGCTGTATGGAGCAACCAGGCCCGCGGGGGGGGGGGGGTGTGTGTGTGTGTGCAGTTGGAGGCAATCAGGCCAGCAAAGGGGGACAGTTAGGGGCTATCAGGAAGGTAGGCAGGCAGGTAAGCAGTTAGGAGCCAGTGGTCTTGGATTTTGAGAGGGATACTGACTGCTGGTTTAAGCCCTATCCCCAGGCTGAAGGACCCTCCTCCCCTACCTTCCTCCCTACCCCCGTGCACAAATTTCATACACCGAGCTTATAGTTAGAATACTACCTATAGAAATTAGTAAATGCCTTATATATAAATATAGGAAGGAGGACATAAAGCTTCAGTATATAATCAAGTTTTTAACTTAGGTTTTCAAATCAATTCTCATCAAATGGTTGGAATTGTTTTAGCTAAAACGTTCCTTTTATAAGTTAATTCTAGTAACTATTTACATGTTATTCTATTTTTATTTTTCATTCATTCAGAAGGCATTTCTGAAGCTCCAGCTATGATCTTAGGGAGGGTGAAAGTGCAGGTAAAAGTGACATTGCAGATTGTCGTAATCATTGCTTCTAAATAGCTGACAATTTACAAAAAGCATCTAACACGCAGCCTAGTAGTTGTGTTAGTTGCATCCCTTTTTTAACGCGAATTCTTAGGAGATGAACAACTGGGTCTGATTTTGATAGGTATATATGAAGGGAAAGAATGTGAAGCAGAGAAAATAGGATAGTAGAGAAATGAGAACGTAGAGTACACAGTAGAGTTGCACTCTGGGCCACCCCTCTCAAAACATAGAGAGAAATAAGAGGAACAAGAAATATTAATTTAAAGAATTTTAATGAGTGGTGATTTTTGCCTAGTGTTTCACTCAATAAGTGCATGCTCATGAAGAGTGAGATAGTAGAAGTAAATCTACAGTTTTCTATATTATGCTCAGCTTCACCATCCATATTTATAGAGAGGACCTCTTATTACACATAGTCTGTAATGTTTAAATTCTTTCTATAATTTATCTGCTGTTTAGTCAATCTGCTCAGACACTGTAGGTAAGCTACCTAGTGTTGGATTTACTAGGAAACTTCACATCTGTCTCTCCTATTATATTGCTACGGTGTTTTCAAGGATAATCTTGACCAAAGGCATATTTTATTTCTTGCAGTGACTTTAGAAACTAACTTTCATAAAGTGGGTGGGGCTTCAGCATAATCTAATAAAGCTGGAGCAGAGCACTAGACAGTGATGGGAAAATAGAGAAAGCAAGGTGGTGCCAAAGAAAATTATAGGTTGCCTTAAATGACGCTGAGGGGTTCATTCAAGTTTATTTGAATAAGGCACTCAGCTGAGGAATAACTTGGTAAGATCTGTATTTTGGAGTAATAATTCTCAAACCATGTTCCCATGATTTAATAAATTGCATTGAGGATTTTCATAACTATAATTGAAAAACGTAGTGGGTTTCTTATCTAAATTCCAGAAAAATATTAGTGATTAGAATATTCTCAAATTTAAGTTTTTCTCCTGTGGTGAAGAAATAATAAAGAACTATTCATAAGAAAAATATCAAGTAATTTACTTTGGCAGCTTGTATTTTCCATCAGTACATGCTAATGGTTGTGCTTTTATGCTGTCTGTGTATAATCATTCATTTTTCTGATGGCAAAGTTGCTGTAATTAAATATGTCAGTATTTCATGGCGAATTTGTAAACCACCATTAAGAATATAGATGAACCCTTGTCTAACCAAGTGTGACAGCCTTACTTGTAAAGATGCAAGACTGGAAACAGCGAATTCCATTCTCTTAAATCCTTTTTTTCTTACTCATGCACTTGGTAGGTGTGCACAAATGTTTTGAATAACCAGCAAGCAGATATTCGATAATTTACTATGCATCATTAACAGGAGCTTTATAGGGGACCCAGGAAACCTAATATAGTCCATATTGTCAATAACCTTAGTTTTATTTGGGAAGCAAACTATCACAGTCTTCAGAAAGAAATTATCAAGGTTTCACATATTCAAGGAGGGCTTCTTAGGAGAGTGGGACTTTCACTGGATCTCATAATCCAGAATGGCAGAAAGAAGGGCTTCTCTGAAGTAGCAATATGTACAATGAACTTGGACTTGGGGTTGACTGGAGTAGAAGGTATTTACAGGGCATCCTGGAAAACAGCTTAGGACCAGTAAGGTTTGACCAAATCATGAACATGGTCCAGAAGTTTAATATTCTGGCTTTAAAACTAAAGTATTATTCTTCACAACTCTTCAAATCTTTAAAAATGGAACATTTGAATCTGAATTATTATCCTTTTTGTTAAGTGTGTTTGTTATTAAACTAGGGCATTTTATTATACTAGTAATTATTTTCTAAAATTAGGAAAAAAATATGTAATCACTCTAACTGTCTTTGTTTACATAGTCTGTTGTTTTTATATTCTGAGAACAAGTTTGATAAAACATATTCATCCAGAAATATTTAATGTATATCTTTAATGTGATAGGCAGTGGATATTAGACAAAGTCCTGGCCATATCCTAGCTGTTTAGGGGAATGGCAGGGAGTAGAGGGTGAACAGAAAGATGATCATTTAGGGAAAGAATAGGTTTGTTATAATTTTCAATAAGGTGATCAGAAAAGGCTAACTTAAGAAGATGATATTTCTGCAGAACCAGTGAGCAAAGTTAATAATGGTTAATCTTTAGCATTTTTCAAAAGCTATGTCAATTGCATTTTCTCATTTGAAATTATTTTCTCGATTTCATGTGCCCACCAATGGTTTTTCAGATGAATGCGCTGGACACTCTTGGTCAGACTGCTTTGCATAGAGCTGCCCTCGCAGGTCACCTGCAGACCTGCCGCCTCCTGCTGAGTTATGGCTCTGACCCCTCCATCATCTCCTTACAAGGCTTTACTGCAGCGCAGATGGGAAACGAGGCAGTGCAGCAGATCCTGAGTGGTGAGTTCAAATAGCTAACCATTGCATTATTCTCTCTCCCACGTCCCATCCACTAATGAACACAGACAGGCTTTGTACCTCCTGTTTTTAGCATCTCCTTGGAATGTATGTTTGTTTGAATATTTTTGCTGCCTTTCCTTGCTTACAGTTTAGCAGTGGCTCTCTGTCAGCATTTTTGGTGAGGTGAGGTAGGTTAAAAACCTGACTTGTGTGTTACAATCAAAAGTTAGTTTAAGCTCATATAAGCAGTGTGGTATTATGGTACCTCTAAAATCTGTCAATAGAGAAAATTTCAGGTCATTCATATGGTTAGGAACTTTAATCAATTATTCTTACAAATGATATATTCTGACCTGTGTTTTGTAATTTTAACTTCATTGCACTTTTATGAAATTACCTTGTGTTTTCCTGGCTAAATATAATTATAAAACCTGACTGAATATTAACAGTGCCTATCTAGTATAGTGTTTGATAATTTAAATGCTAAGTTTATTGAGGAAGACTATACATAAGACTGATACAAAATAGACACTGGTTCCCAAAACCCCCAAATTAGACAAAATACCACAATTCATCTACTGAAAAATGATGGACTTGATACAAAAGAAATCTCATATACCTGACCCTTATTTCTCATTTCTTTAATTTTGACTATGGAGTTTATCTGCTCCAGAATAACGTAACAAAGTGGGGGAGTAAAATGGGGAAGGTAACAGACTAGAACTCTGAAGTCCTAGTTCTTGTTCTTACCAGTCCTTTACTCCCATCAGGCGCAGGGCCCCTTTTTTATAATGAATATTTTTTAATATCTCTTTTACTATCCAGAAGTTAATTCATAAATAATATGATCTAACTATATGGACATCTTCCAAAAATCTATATTAAATGTCCTAATTATAACATTAAAAAATGATGGTAAGTTTTAATTATAAACTACTGGCAATATTTATGTCAAAATTAATGTCAGATTAAAGAAAATAAGTTTTTTTAAATGAGCATTTTAAAATTGTTTTTAGAAGATTGGGCTTTTTTCTTTTTTTTTTCTTTTTTTTTTTCTTTTTTTTTTTTTTAAATACATTTTATTGATTTTTTACAGAGAGAAAGGGAGAGAGATAGAGAGCTAGAAACATCGATGAGAGAGAAACATCAACCAGCTGCCTCTTGCACACCTCCTACCGGGGATGTGCCCGCAACCAACGTACATGCCCCTGACTGGAATCGAACCTGCGACCTTTCAGTCCGCAGATCGACGCTCTATCCACTGAGCCAAACCGGTTTCGGCTGGACTTTTTTCTAAACCTGCTCTATCTAATTGTTAGTCACTAGCTACAAGTGGCTAAATTTAAATTAGTTAAAATTAAATAAAAATTTTAAATCATTTATCATTTGTAATATCTTCATTTCAGACACTCAATAGCCACACATGGCTGGTGGCTACTGTATTAAGCAGCACAAATAGAGTATTTCAACATCACAGACAGTTCTTTTGAACAAATCTTAACCCGAATTCTTCTGATTATGTATTCCACTGTGGTTATTGCATTGCTTTTACCTAATCCTTTACAGAAGTAAGGATTTGGGGATTTGATGATAGCTAAATTATAATTGAAATCCCCATTTGCTTTATTTGCATTTGAAATAAGCCACTCAGATCTATTGCCAGTTTTGTAGTCTAATACTAAACAACAAGACTACAGGAGATTTTTTAAAATAACCAACTGCCTTTCAGGCTTTGAAACTTTAGCTTTTTTTTTTTCATAGTATAGTGGATATTTGACTTTTTTTCTTCTTTATGGATTAAGCTATTACTACATATGTGTCCTTATTTAGCTTTTTGTTTGTTTGTTTTTCATTCTGGTGAGACAGAAAAAATTGGGGTTTCTAAAAAATTAGAAACCAATTTCTAGCCTTTGACACTACATGAAATATTTATTTTCATCCTCTTCAACGAGCGTGCTTATAAAGAATTTTGTTAATACAATATCTTACATATCATCTAGTCTTCTTTTAACTATATTTCCTTTTTAACCTCATTTTTAAATTGTGCATCTCTTTGTATGAAGCTGCTGGGCTCTGTGTGTGTGTGTGTGTGTGTGTGTGTGTGTGTGTGTATGTGTCCTTTCAGCAAATACTTTATTCACATTATTTCTAAAAATCTAAACCTGTTCAGGATTTATAAGGAATGCATTATTTGTTTAGCAATCAACCAATATCTTTAACTAACTCTATTCTTTGATTAGGACTAAGTCTCATAGTTCTCAAAAAGCATGAGGCCCAGTGCACGAAATTTCATGTATTGGGGGCAGGGGTCCCTCAGCCTGGCCTGCCCCCTCTGGCAGTCTGGGACCCTTCACTCCTTACCGTCTCTGTACTAGCCAGCCGTGAGCCCAGCTTCTAGCTGAGAGGCACTCCCCCTGTGGGAGAACACTGACTACCAGGATACAGCTTCTGCATTGAGCGTTTGCCCTATGATGGTCAGTGCGCGTCATAGAGACCAGTTATTCCACTGTTCGGTCGATTTGCATATTAGGGTTTTACTATATAGAATAACAATTTTTGTTTTATTGTAAAATTATACCTTTTATAAAGCAGCCTGCATCAAGACAGGTGTGCCAATTTCAAGTCGTTTTTAGAATTTAAAAATTCAACCATATAATTGTATCTTTCAAATGCTAGAATCTGAAAATATCTGAAGTTCTAATTCTATGTACATAAACAGTTGTCATTTTATTCTGTTGAAATGATAAACTAAAAATATGATCTATAGATTTCCTAAGGCTGATTCAATGAGTTTTACCAACTATCAAAATCACTGTCGTTGAGGATATAATATGTGCCTCTAAATGAAGTAATGTCATGTACAGTTAGAATGGAGGCAAATGAGACATGAAAGACAGAATAAGGGAAGCCAAAGAGTTAAGATTTGACATCACTGACCCAATATAGAATAGCATGGAAGTCAGTTCAGCAATGCCTTATGAATTATCTCCATGTGAAAAGGAATATAAAGATGAGCAAAACCTAATTCCCTTCCTCAATGCTTCCTAACTAACAAATGTAATAATCTCTCTTTTAAAGAAAAATAATTTCAAAAATGTACTTTATTAGATGAAATCCTCTATTCTTTCCTCCCTTTAATATTAACATTTTTATCTGCTATTATTATTGTGACTAAATAAATTCAATTTCTCTTTCATTGAAGAGTTCTCACAACTCTGTAAAAACTTTTTTCCTGAACGAAGGACTTTAGAGTAGAAAGAAAAGCATTTCCTTTGAAATCTAAAACCTTTCTTTAGCATCAATAAATCTTCCCATTTGGATAGTGGACTGAATAAAGATGTCTCTAATCATAAAGTAATGCAATCTTAAGGGATTTTAAGGGAATTTAAGGGAAACCAGCAATCACTTAATAGGTGCAAAAACTAAGCTATTAGGTGTTTTGTCTATCACAGTTAATAGAGCCTAATCTAAACCCATTCTCCTGGACTTCAATCCTTTTTATCTATTACCTGAATGTGTGTACATATTATAAAAATCACACTTACTATTCATAAATGTATTTTGAGTGATATAGTACATTCGTGTTTTTTTAAACATTTTCATTGAGGCCAATGTATAATGCATTTTTGTTTATATTGGATTAATCAAAAGACTCCATTTGTTAGCCTCATACTTATAGACTTAACAGCCCAATTTAATTATATTCTACTTAGTTTTTATATCACATCTTCCATTTTATAGACATTTTAAATTATATTTTCCTAAAGCCACTCAAGAAATGTGAATTAAATTTCTTTTTTTAGTAGGCCTTTTTTTGTACACTGATTATGTTTTCCAAGATCACTAATTTTAGGAGTAGTACTTCTGTTTCATATTGAGGAAACAAAGAAAGGCTAAGCATTAAATACTGAAAGTTGAATGGATTCCCTAGGTTTGCATAACAAAATCTTGGCAAAGCTTTGCTACAACACTTTGTAAGACTAATCAATCATGAAGATGATCATTATCTCATAGTCCGTTGTATCTTCATTCCCCTTTGCCAAGTATTAACCAGAAAGTTTGGAGAATAGAGTAGCATGGTTGGAGACGGATTTATGTGTCTTAGAATTTACTTAAATGTGACTTAGAATGAGATGGATATAGATTGAAGTAAGAAACCACTTATCTCTATTGAAAAAGATAGGTCTCAGAATCTGATCCCTTAATCTCTCTGTTTTCCCCGAATAATTTACCCTCTTTAACTACTCTGTGATTCCTTGAAAGCCAACACTAGTCTTTCCTTTTATGCAGAAAGTACACCTATGCGTACTTCTGATGTTGACTATCGACTCTTAGAGGCATCTAAAGCTGGAGACTTGGAAACTGTGAAGGTAAGTTAATGCTTTTAATGTTTTGAGTAGCACTATTGAAATTTTGCTAACCATTTCATTTTAAGTTTCTAAGTGAAACTACAAGAAAAGGGATGAGCAGAATAGGTGTATAAACAGGAGAGAACTCTTAACCACAAAAAATTTCCTAGTATGTGCCTTATGTCCATTAAACTCCTTTTTAGTTACTTTTCTTCTGGTTATGGGATAGCTCTTTTATTTTCACTTATATTAATCAAATTGTTACTTTTGGCTGCATTCATAAATTTCTAAGCTAGTTCAAGCCCAGGTAATAGTACAATAATATTTAAAACAGTTTTTCTTGAAGTTTTCCAAGAGATTCTCACAGTGGCTCTGGGAAAGAATGATCCTGCAGCCCTTAGGAATTATTTATATGCAGAAGATGGGTTTTCCTTTTTATGTAACTCTACTTGCTAAGAAAATTTTATCAATCTTTATTTGTGGTATAAAAACAATTGTTATAAATTTAATGTTTCTCAAATAAAAAGTATATTCCAATATCAAATATACTTTTAAAAGCATATATTCTTCCCGTCTATAATCATTCATGTAGAGATGAAGATAGCAGAAAGGGATATAGTTTTTTATTTTTTTGGTGTTTTGTTTTTTTTTTTGTTTTGTTTTGTTTTTTGTTTGGTTTTTTTAAGAAAGGCCAATTGCTGAATATACTAGATTATATTTTTCAAACTAAACTTTGTCACTTATTAATAAGCCAATTCTATTTATTTTATTTTTAGTAAACTAATTTTAGCCTCTTGATGATGGATACTATTTGAAAATGACAGTACACACTTTTTAAGCTCTATGGCCTAGAAATTTTATTTTTGTTTTAATACATGGTCACTTTCAATCTCTCTTTCATCTTATAACATCTAAGTTATTTAAAGAAAAATAGTAAATAAATAGCCACTGGGGAGAAAATTTCAGGTTCTCTTAGATCTAAAATTATGGGGGGGGGGGGTTGTTTTGTTTTGTTTTTTTCTTAAAAATACTCTGTAATTTGAAGTGTATTCTAATAAAGGAAAATGTTTAAATATAAAAAATGCTTAGGATTCCTTTTCTGTGTCACAGCATTGTAATCTCTACACTAGAATTGCTACATGTACCTATTAAAATGAAATTAAAACTTTTTTTAATATCATAAATTAACAAAATTCCTTACCTTTTGTGTATAAGTATACTGCAGCTTTCAGTTTCTTAAACAGTCTATTCACAATAAAGGACTAACTATATATATATTTTTTTTAATGGAATCAACATGGCAGAAGAAAAAGCACAAATTAAGTGAGAATTAGACTGCATAAATTTCTTTTCCTGGAGGTTTTAGAAAGTATTAGAAATTAGATATTAGAGGAAAAGCTGTTTGCTGAGTAACGTAGTTGACATTATATAAAGCAGCTAGAAAGGATGTGAAATTGCTTTGCCATTCAAAAAGAAAGTAAAACAGACTAGAGAATAAAAAACTTCCAAATATTGAAAAGCAAGCATTTAATAAGCAGAATGGAACTTTATTTGTGTAACCTGGTAAAATGAGTTGTGTTTCTTTATTTCCTCCCTCATTTCTATTTTGCCACTATTCTCTGGGGAGAAAAAAGTTAAAGTAGAAAATAAGAACCAGGAGAGTAAGTGCTTCAGTCATGTAAGACACCACTGATGTTTGCTAGCAATTTTTGCAGCCTTTCTTTTTAGTTTATGTATTTATTTGTTTCTATTTAATTGTATTTTTTTTATTCTCTAATTTATGTGTTAATGTAGCCACAGACTCACTTGTCATGAAAAGAAAAGATGTTTGACCTGGCCTGATGGTAATGTTCTTCAGCAGTTAGAGTCTGTGCTTTCCCACAGAGTTGATGCGATTGTAGGCGTTCCCTAATACTGCCCAGGCTTGTTTCTGTCATGTAAAAATTGTACCGTCTGAAAAGTCCTGCTTTCACCCTACCAGTGTGAAAGCCTCTACTGGGTATATCAATAGAAACAGGTTCTTCATTTTTAGCCAGCCATGCACCAAAAAGATCAGGAGATTAATAATCAGGAAAACGGGGTCTGAGTCTTTACTACTCCTTACCACTCCATGAAAAAGGATTTCACTTAACCTCACTGAGCCTTGGTTTATTTATAAAATGGAGATAATGATCAACTTCACAGATAGCAATTTATTGAAAGAATCTGACATTTTTTACAAATTGTAAATGATTGTTCCACTATCATTGTAACTCATCTGTCACCACTGGTGATGCAGCCTGTTAGCTCTTACTTTGTTTCTACTGCTTGTAATCAAGTAGAGTGGAGTGGGTACTGAAATGGGAGCATGCAACAGGGGAAAAGGAGATAGAGGAGAGATTTGGAGGGCATAGCTGAAAGAGGTGGAAGTAAAACCAAAAATTAGAATATGATTAGAAGCAGTTTGACTTACAGAGTTAGACAAACATCCCCCAAAGATCAAGTAAAGCACTCTGGACTGCATAGCTTTGTTGGTTTTATTATCTTTTTGTTTTGTTTTTTAAGAAAGGCCAACTGCAATATTGTCATTGGTAGTCATATCAGATTTTTTTTTTTCAAACTAAACTTTGTCACTTATTAATAAGCAAACTCTATATTGGATCCAAGTGTTTGGCCCAAGCAGAATTAATACAGTTTTTCCAGAGCCTTTTTTCTCGCCCCAAGAACTCTGGGTAACTCTGAAATCTAGTGGGGTTGCTCCTTTTTGAGAGAATGGCTAAGAGCATGCAAAAATGCTGTGACAGCAGTCTTGGGGAGCAAAAGCCTTATAAAGATGAAAAAGTAAGGCAGCAGTTGCCATGCAAATGCTTGCTTTATTATGGGTTTTTCCTTTTTATTAGCATTTTGTGAGTCAATTGCTCTGTAAATAGTAAGGATATTTCTAAACATAGTACTGATTTTTAAACATCACTTGTATTACCTAATCTTTGGAAATAAATATTAGAAAAATACAAGTTATCCAAGTACCTATAGTATCTTGGAGCAAAGTCTGTGGCTAAATGTTAATGTACTTCTTATGTTTGTCTGTGTGTATGTGCCATCAAAGCAACTCTGCAGCCCTCAAAATGTGAATTGCCGAGATTTAGAGGGCCGGCATTCTACGCCCTTACACTTTGCGGCAGGCTATAATCGTGTGTCTGTTGTGGAGTACCTTCTACACCACGGTGCCGACGTCCATGCCAAAGACAAAGGGTATGTGTCAGGATCCAGCCGTTAGGATTCATTCTTTTGAGACTTGAAAAAAAATAAAGATATTTTAATATTTTTGAAGTCTTTGATTGTTTTCCCTATTTTAAAGTAATGCATGTGTTTTAAAGTTTAAAAAATAAATTAAAACATAGAAATGTAAAGAAAGTAAAATTTCACCTCTTAGAGATTAATTACAGCATTAAAATTTTGTTGTAATCCTCCCAATTTTTTAATTGCATGTACTAGTGTGTATGCTGCTGTGGGTTTGTGGTGGTTTCTGGCATAAATTATGTCATTCCAGACAGTTTGCTTTGCAATTTGCTTTTTTCATCTAGTAGTATATCTTGAATATCTTTCCATATCAGAATTTAATAATTTATCTCCTCCTTTTAATGCCTGTATATAGTATGAATGTGTTTATATAGTTTATAATTTATTGTTTATCCCTTGTTTTGCCATAAAAAAATGTATCTCTTTCAAAAGAAGCCATCCATCCCAAAGTCATCAGTATTAAAATAGAAACATTTTATTTTTTACTAATTCACATTTATATTTTTATATTAGTTTTACTAAATTACTTCTGTTTATCTAGACAGAGTTGTGGTTTTTATAAAATATATTTTAATTGATTTTAAAGAGGAAGGGAGAGGGAGAGAGAGAGAGAGAAACATCAGTGATAAGAGAAAATCATTGATCAGCTGACTCCTGTACGCCCCCTACTGGAGATTAATCCCGCCACCCCTGACATGTGCCCTTGACCGGAATAGAACCTGGGAACTTATATTCCACAAGCTGACACTCTATCATCCATTGAGCCAAACAAGCTAGGGCTAGATAGTTTTTAAAGTAACCATGAAAGTTATTTAGAAATGCAAGAGGAAGTTTTAATTGAAATGAGCTGCTTCTGTGTTAATTTCATGTCATTTCAAAATATAAATAAGTAAGCACCTTTCTATACAATACTATAGAATTAAACCATACAACTTAGATTTCAACTAACTGTTATGGGACACACCAGACATAAGTATTCAGTAATACTGTCACTAGCTTTTTCAAAATATTACAGTGTCCTGGAGAGCAACATTTGTTAATATTGCCCATTTTTAGCAATTAGAATTTTGATCTCAAAACATTAAAAAGAAGGGGGGGGAAAAGCATGATCTCTAAATAAAAAGGCACTTGTACCTAGTTTGTTCCATTTCTTAAGTGCAACTAAAACTTACCCTTTTGATGCACCTTTTTTTTATGGGAACATTTTTGGTCCCTTTATACTATCAGCTGCCTTCTCATCAGAACATAGAATCCTCTCAGAATAGTTTGCTCATAATGAGGCAGCTAGATTCTCTTATCTGATTGGAGTTTATGGTTCACACTATTATTTTCTTTCACAAATACTTAAGTTTCTTTGTCACTTAGATTTTGAGTTTTCATTGCTTGGCACCTAAATATTTAAACTCTTGCACAGGGGGGAAAAAAAAAAAAAAAAAAAAAAACACCTAAAGGTAGAATTTGCCTAAATAAATAACCTAAATTGCATTGTATATTTTCTAAGATTGCAGTTATCATTAGGAATACCCAGATGAGAGACCATTTGAGAGATGATAAATTTAATTATTGAGTAGTTATTGCTAAAATCACTTTGTAGTGTTGCTTTATATTGCCAGCATGAAACCTAAATTAAAAGTATTGTGATGGGCCAAAACTGGTTTGGCTCAGTGGATAGAGCGTCGGCCTGCGGACTGAAGGGTCCTGGGTTCGATTACAGTCAAAGGCATGTACCTGGGTTGCAGGCACATCCCCAGTAGGGGTTGTGCAAGAGGCAGCTGACCGATGATTCTCTCTCATCGATGTTTCTAGCTCTCTATCCCTCTCCCTTCCTCTCTGTAAAAAATCAAATATATATATATATATATATATATATATATATATATATATATATATATATATATATTGTGATAGAGGCTCTGGCCAGTTAGCTCAGTTGGTTAGAGCATCATCCCAATACGCTAAGGTTGCCATTTCCATCCCCCTTCAGGGCACATACAAGAAATAACCTCTCCCTCCCTCTCTTTCTCTAAATCAATAAAATAGAAAGTATTGGGATGGAACGTGTGTGTGTGTGTGTGTGTGTGTGTGTGTGTGTGTGTGTGTGTGTGTGTGTGTGTGTGTATTTTAAGAATAAGGATTGCTAAATTTATATCCTTCACCAAGAAACTATGGCAAGTCTTTATATTGAAAGGGACATCTTAAAAATTATTAATCCTCACTTGGAAATGGATGACTATATCTTCAAGACAAGAGTAGAATTTTCTAAGCGAGTCTTTAGTATGGACAATGACATAGAAGAATTTCATTATTTTCATAAGTATCATTTTAACTCAAAAGATTTATCATATGTCTTAAAAATAATTTTCTTCTGTTTAGTGGTCTGGTGCCCCTTCATAATGCTTGTTCATATGGACACTATGAAGTAGCTGAGCTTTTAGTAAGGCATGGGGCTTCTGTCAATGTGGCGGATTTATGGAAATTTACCCCTCTACATGAAGCAGCAGCTAAAGGAAAATATGAAATCTGCAAGCTCCTTTTAAAAGTATGTAATTTTAAAAATTATAAAGTATAAAGTAATTATATTTATTTTTGGTTAGTATATAAAATTACGTCAAGGTAAATTTTGTTATGTACAATAAGTGCTATAGAGACGCTTCCCCTTTCCTTTTTGGGGGATGTTTAAGTGTGGTATCACGATACGTGCATAGCTTTGAGTAGTGTCTGAAGTACGTTCGAACTGATTTGATTAAGTTCAGATAATTATAGCTCATCAAGGCAGGTTTTGGAAAGAGTTGAATTAGTTTGCATTGCTTATCTAATACTTACAGTATTAATATCAGAAAACATTTAAGGAAAAACAAGGTTTTTTTAATCAAGTTTGATTTTTTTTTACTAGCTACTTTATTATTGTTAACAAACTCATTCCTCATTATTAAACTATATATTTTATAAAAATTTTATTTTAAAATCAGATTTTAATTAAAATGTAAGGTAATTAAATATTTATATAAATTTTTGATTATACATGAAATAGTAGAACTAATAGTTAATGTGAAACTAAACAATTTTGGGTTCTTTTTAAAGGATGTGAAAAATGACCAGACATGTATGTATGTATCTCTCTCTCTCTCTCTCTCTCTCTCTCTCTAACTAGAGAAAAACTTGTCCTGGGTTAAATATAAATAAAATTCTTCCTCCATCATTCTTATGGCATCAAATATATCATTATGAGTATTGAGAATAACACTGTATTTGATGCACATTTTTATTATCACTGGCTAGCAAGTCACTGTGAATTCATTATCTATCTTGTATCTTTCAAATTTTTCCAGTGGGCCGGTAGCAGACTGTCATGATAAATATTCTTGACTTTTATTTACTTTATTTCATAGTATATGTACAATTGGACTCTTAAAAGCAAATTAATTGTTAATACATTTATACATTTATACCTAATTTCATGATAGGTGTTAAGACTTAAAATAAAAATATTTTAAAATTACCAAACTTTCTTCTGCATCTAGAATTAAGTATTTGTTCTACTTGTGTATCTTCCTCTTTTTACTTCTTTTTCATGATATTCACTGAATATTTTTATGTAATTGAAATCTGATCAAAATTAACATTCAGACTATTCTTAAAAGGAAATGGTGTTTCTAAAGACAGTTTGGAGTCTGTGAAAGTATATTGGATGAAAAGTAAAAGATACTTAGTATTTTGCCATTTCACCATCCTTAGACTTAGGGGTTTGGTTGAGTAGTAGTTAGAAAGTTGATCCAGTATACTGCTAAGTAGGGAATTTGACAAATAAAACAGGATACTTCCTCTGTTGTTAAAAATGCATGAAGAATAGATAACTTTCCTTGGATGAGTGAAGGTGAAGTTAAATAAAAAAAAACCTGAAGAAAAATACTATAGAAAGTACAAACCCCCTTTTTTTTCCCTTTGTAGCATGGAGCAGATCCAACTAAGAAGAACAGAGATGGAAACACACCTTTAGATTTGGTTAAAGAAGGAGACACAGATATTCAGGACTTACTGAGAGGAGATGCTGCCTTGCTGGATGCTGCCAAGAAGGGCTGCCTGGCAAGAGTGCAAAAACTCTGCACCCCAGAGAACATCAACTGCAGAGACACCCAGGGGAGAAACTCAACCCCTCTGCACCTGGCAGGTAGGCATCATGCGCAAGCCTAAGCCTCCTTGCCCTTCTTTGGTACCTAGTATAGATTCCTGGGAGATGGAAGGAATGTTGAGCATAAAGAGTACTACTTAGAAAATCCTTTTGATTGGCATAATTTTATATAATTTTTTACTGTAAAGCTTCTTAATTATGTAATCATAGTATTAGCTTTTAAAGCAAAATGTATTGTAACTTTAACATTTTTCCAATCCTTATTATTTATATACAATTTTTTTTCCTTTAAGCTGACATGTTTGCCTTTTTTTACTCTAACAGCCGGCTACAATAACCTGGAAGTAGCGGAATATCTTCTAGAGCATGGAGCAGATGTTAATGCCCAAGACAAAGGTGGCTTAATTCCTCTTCATAATGCAGCGTCCTATGGGGTGAGCATGCTAAAGTTCAAGTCTAGAAAACTTCACTGACATTTACTGTTTTGTTAAATGTATACTATGTATGAAATAAGTAGATAATTTAGCACAATTATAATTTTCTATTCAGAATGCTTCTAGCCTTCCCAATTAAGCTCAACTCTCTTTTTGGCCAAGGACCACACTTTTTATAGTACAACTAGAGGCCCAATGCATGAAATTTGTGCAAGTGCCTTGATCCCGTCCCTTGCCCATTACAGCTTTGTCCAGAATGTAGGACTTCCAGAAGGACATCCGGTTTAATTAGCATATTACGTTTTTATTATTATAGAAGATCATAGGTCTGTAATGGCTGTTCAGTTAATACTTATTGATACAAATAATACTCTATCAAAAGTAGATTTTAGAAATTATAAAAACCAGGAATCCTTTGTAGGTATGGAAATTGTGGTTGCTTATGTTTATCCACATTTTTTATCCACATTTTTTAAATAACCAAGTAAATGGTTGAATTATTGGTATATATAGTTTCATAGAATTTGAATTGACTACCCACAGTGAAAGTGCAGCCATGCTCTCAAAGCACTGTAACGAATCATCAGCCTAAAGAGGAAGAGGAATGTATGGGCTGCCTTGGTGCCAGATGTTGGAACTGACTGCCTGGAGTCACTATGGGCCACTTCAGGCCCAATAATCACATGGGAAGAGCGTGAACGCTGCTGTGCTTGTCTGCTCATCCACTTAGTCCATATTGGGATATAGAACTCCAGATGCCAGATTGTGGGTCAGAAGAGAATGTTTGTTTTTAAGTTAGGCCTGAATATGTTAGAAGGCTAAATAAAAATGTTAAATTTTCCCATGAAGAATTAGGACTATAGGATAAAGTAATAATTGTGGAACTGATATTCTGGAGGAGGCAAGGAAGGATGTAGTCCAGAATATAGGGAGGGGGGTAGGGTAAATACTCCTTTTATAGAATAAATGTCTTCATAGAGATCTAGAGGGAATGAAATGTGAAATAAAGGACGTGTATGTGATGGAGCTTTGCCAGGTAATCTTTCTTAACTCTTCACATCTTTTTCTTTTCTTCAGCATGTGGACATAGCAGCATTATTGATAAAATACAACACATGTGTAAATGCAACAGATAAGTGGGCTTTTACTCCTCTTCATGAAGCAGCCCAAAAAGGAAGGACCCAGTTATGTGCCCTCCTCCTAGCGCATGGAGCAGATCCAACTATGAAGAACCAAGAAGGTCAGACACCCTTAGATCTGGCAACAGTAAGTCCTCATTTTAAAATCCTCACCCTTGCTTTTTTTATACTCTTCAGAGATGACATTACATTGTAGGGCCTAGCAGGGCCATTAGTATTGAAATGCATATTTCACTTAGAATAAGAACAGACTTTCTTCCTTCTGAAATTTTTTTAATTTGCTTTTGTTTTTTTTTAATATACTTTAAAACTTTGTTAAGAAAAACTAAGTAGTGTAAGCTAATGCAATTCTTTTTGACAAGTTTATCTTGGAGGCAAAAGATGAATCATAGAAAAATACATATTTAGAATGTATTCTCAAAGAATTACACTCATAAAAGTATCTTAAGCCTTTTACGTTAGGTGTATTACTCTAGAGCCGCGGTCAACAAACTGCAGCTCGCGAGCCACATGTGGCTCTTTGGCCCCTTGAGTGTGGCTCTTCCACAAAATACCACAGCCTGGGCGAGTCTATTTTGAAGAAGTGGCCTTAAAAGAAGTTTTAAGTTTAAAAAATCTGGCTCTCATAAGAAATTTCAATCGTCGTACTGTTGATATTTGGCTCTGTTTACTAATGAGTTTGCCGACCACTGCTCTAGAGCAACTGTTATTCATGATAATTTACCTGAGGCTTTGGGATAGTTAGAAAAAATTTACTTCTGGACAATATATTATTCTTCTGAAGATGGAAAAATAAACTGACATATTATAGAAATATTTTTAAAACTAAGAATTACATTTTTGTGGTTAAATATTATGTAACTACAAAGTTAAAACACTCATAATCTTCCTGAAGTTTCTGAAAATCTAGGAGTTAATAATGGTCACAATAACTAACCATAGTTTTAGGCCCAAAATACATTTCCAAGCCACATTCTGTTTCATTTATCTATTGCTAAGTAACAAAGGATTTTAAAACACTTAGTAGCTTAACCAAAATTGAGTGAGTGGCTTTAAAACAGTGATTCTGTGGGCTGCCTGGGTTCAGCGAGGTAGTTCTGCTGTCTGTGCACTTACCTTACCAGGACCTCAGATAAAGCTGCAGTGTCCAGGATGGCCTTGCATCCTGCAGGGCCTCTCTGCGTGGTATGCAAACTTCTTTACAGCATGGAGGATGGCTTCTAAGGAAGGAAAAGTAGAAGCTGTCAGTCCTTTTAAATCCTGGCTCAGAGCCTTAGACCATCACTTCCTCTGCATTCTATTGCTCACAGCGGTTGATGGGCATTCAGATTCTGGAGAAGGGAAACAGACATCTATCAGGGAGGGATGAATGTCCGGCTGTCTTTGGGAGCTGTCAGGCACATCCGCTGACACCAGTTATGGCAAAAAACTATAAAGTTCTGGCCAAACTAAAGTACTGTTCCTCTAAAATTTCAGCAGATTTTAATTGTGCCTTAAATCGTGTGCACTAAATAGCTGAACAAAAACTGTTGTAGTTGCTTAAGTATAAACAAAACACAGTAAATAAATATGGAAACTAATTCTAAAGCAAAAATTTAAAATCAAAACTCTAAAATGTGCTTTTTTAAATGAAAGATGAAATATTTTTAACTCTTCACATCTTTATTGCATATCCTTTAAATACACGTGTAATCTGAACAATTGTTTGTACACTTTTCACTTAATGTTAAAAGTGTTTTCAGGAGTCAACATAGTTCACATTCGTAGATATTTTTTTCTCATAGCTAATTCTTTTTTTTTTTTTTTTTGTAGTCTGGCCAGAACACTTATTCTACTCTCAGCAAACTTCAAGTATATAATAGTGTTCTTAATTATAGTCTTCAAACTTTACATTCAATGCTCAAAAAATGAAATACTTTTTTAATTAATAGTTTCTCCAGTTCTACCTACTGAAACTATATAGTCTTCAGAGCTGTGGATGAGAGAAGGGAAGAAGAAGAAATGACTAAAAACAAATAGGAGATAATGAGGCATTTATTGGAGGGGAAAAAAATCCCAATGTACTTTCAACTTTAGTGAAAAGCTTACCACTTTAAAATGTATATTTTTGTGTTTTTTTGTATCACTTTTAGGCTGATGATATCAGAGCTTTGCTGATAGATGCCATGCCCCCAGAGGCCTTACCTACCTGTTTTAAACCTCAGGCTACCGTAGTGAGTGCCTCTCTCATCTCACCAGCATCCACGCCCTCCTGCCTGTCTGCTGCCAGCAGCATAGATAACCTCACTGTCCCTTTAGCGGAATTGGCAGTAGGAGGGGCGTCCAACGCAGGGGATGGCGCAGCGGGCACAGAAAGGAAGGAAGGAGAAGGTGAGTATGCCCTGCGAATACTTATTTGGTTCTTGTCTTTTGTTTGTTTTATGTAACAGATTCCCTTTTTTTCTATTGGTAATCATTGCACACCTCACTTACAGATATCTTAACTCTCTGTAGGTTTTCATATATGAGAAATAGGTCTTCATAGAATGAATGTCTTGGCACCCACGTTCTTACATGTTTATGTCTCAGTACATCAATTTCCAACCATAGTATTACTGAGTCTTATTATTGAATATATCAGGAAAAACAGATTATTTAAGGAATGAAACTAAACTGGTAGCTGATAACTTTGGAATTTTATATCAATAGTTGAATATTACACTAAAAGCATTATGTTATGCACTATAATATTAAAATTAATATAATTACTACTGATTTGATAAAGATAAACTGCTTTTACTTATCAACAAAATTCAGAAATAACTTGAAGTATCTGAATGAAATTTAGGGTTATTTTATGTTATGTAAAGATATCTGAACAGCCACCAGTGTCAGAGAGCCGTGGCTTTAAAAAATACTAGAACTTCCTTTAGATTGATAAACTTTTTCTGAAACTTTTTGTCTGTTTTAGTTGCGGGTCTTGACATGAATATCAGCCAGTTTCTAAAAAGCCTTGGCCTTGAACACCTTCGGGACATCTTTGAAACAGAACAGGTAAGCTCTCTTGAGTCTTTTAATATTAAGAATTATTTTTCACTCCTTTTTTCCTTCTAAACTGCTATTTTTATACCAATAAACTTCTAAGGAAGCCAGGAGAAATTCAGTATTTTATATCTCTCCCCAAAATAGTCTAACAGATTATGGGAGTCTTTCATTATTTGTCACTCCTATATAAGCAGTCTGGTTTAATATGTTTGATTACATGTCAAAACTTAGACCATGAAACCACCTTAAAAGAATTTTTTTTAAATCATTATTTTCTTTCCAAAAATTGTTGGCACTTATTCATCTCATTATGATGGGTTATTGTGAGGCACAAACGAGGTAATTATTTTATAATTGGAGCTATATAATGAACAAATACTGTAATTTGCTTACCTGGTTTCTGCTTCTTCCCGAAAAGTACTATACATGTTAATTCAGAAAAGCTTAAGTATTGTATAAATTAAAGCTACCACATAAATATTAAATCCTGTTTTTACATCATTCCTTATTTGAACTGAATTTAGAATATTTAGAAGGAAAAGAGTGGGGTGTTAATAACAAAAACCTTGTGCATGGTTCCAAATTATGTTAAAATCCCATCTAGCTAAACATATAAAGGTTCCTACTATATAATGAACTGTTTGTCTCAAAGATGTGTATTTTAGAACTGTTGCTTTTTAAAGGCTGCTGAAAACTTCCTTTGGGTGATTGGAAGTGAATTACCCATTTTGTGCAGTGGAGCAATTATTTTTTAAATGGCCATTTAGGAGCAATATAGCAAATTATTTCCAAAGACTGAGTGATGAATGCTTGTTGTACTGAGAAGATCAGACTCATTATATAATATTTCATTCTAACAATAAAAATCAGAAGAGCTCCAGGCCTAATTTGTCAGTCTTTTAAATGTTATGTACAAGTTGTAAAGGTAGAGAAGCTATGGAATGATGAAAAGTATCTCATTTGAGTTCAAAAAGGAGTATCTGTAAAAAGATTTTTCAGTTTTCCAGTGTTTCTTTTTTGAAAGAAAAAATCAAAGGCTAATCTTGTGAAGTAGTATTTGGATGGTCACAGAACCAGTTTTTTCTGACCTGGAAAATTGCTTGTTCAGCCTTCAAGAAATGTGGTCAGCCATGATTTCATCCTGTACATTCAGAATGCTGCCACTCGATGGCGGTAGAGTCTGTCACAGTTACTTTTAGTCAACCAAAGAATTAGGTAATTTTGGATCAACTACATTTATAAGGATTAATAACCAAAAATTAACAATAACTGTCTTGTACAAAAATAGAATGTATGTTAAGCTTCAGGAATTGTTAAATCTGAGAATTTATAAGAGAATTTAAGATCCATCAACTCTCATCTTCAAATTGAAATTCTTTATAGAACTTCTATATAAAATGATCTATCATATAGTCTAAATATTTATGATATAAATTTCACTACTTTGTAAGGCAGCCTTTTTTGTGTTTGAATATTTCTTAGCTCTGGGAATTCCTCCTTTTTTATTTTTTATTTTTTTAAATATATTTTATTGATTTTTGTACAGAGAAGAAGGGAGAGAGAGATAGAGTTAGAAACATCGATGAGATAGAGTCATCGATCAGCTGTCTCTTGCACACCCCCTACTGGGGATATGCCCGCAACCAAGGTACATGCCCTTGATCAGAATCGAACCCAGGACCCTTCAGTCCCCAAGCCGACGCTCTATCCATTGAGCCAAACTGGTTTCTATTCCTCCTTAGTTTTATATTAAGTCCTAATTACCTAATATGCTTACTTCTTTTTGCCATATTCTTTTCATTGTGCTAAACACCTCTCCATTTCCCCACCATTCACATTGGCTACCCATTTTCAGACCTATTGTTTGTTCCCTCTTGTATCTTGAAGCAAGCAAAAGGTAGTGGTTTTTTAAATGAAAAGGAAATATAGAAATGATTATCTTTTATTTCTATAGCATTGTTTGTCCCATTTTAATTCTCCATTGACTAAAAGCAATTAAGGAGTATTTAAAGTGAGCAGAAAGCTAATAAAATTATCAAGAAAATTTTAAGTTCATGCTTACAATGGAAACAAAAGAATTTTCTTAATTTGAATAGATATATAGATAGCATTGAAGACAAATGGAAGAATTTCCATCATCTGAGGAACTATTAAAGATTTACCAATTAATTTTGTTTCACTTTTCAGATTACCTTAGATGTATTGGCTGATATGGGTCATGAAGAGTTGAAAGAAATAGGTATCAATGCATATGGACACCGCCATAAACTAATCAAAGGAGTAGAAAGACTCTTAGGTGGACAACAAGGTAAGCTATTCAGAAAAAATTAATTTCAGGTATTTGTGGTAATAAGATAAATATCAGGGCTGGCATCTGAACTCAGGTGGTCTGACCCCAGAGCTCATATGTTCGACTGCCTTCCCTCCCATCTACTGGCTCTGCTCTCCCTCTAATTGCCTTAGTTGGAATTGAGTCAATTTTCCCTCACTCACAAACTTTATATCTTAAATGTCTCCAGAATCTACACTTTTATCCTTTTCCACTGCTGTGACCTAATCCAAGTCACCATCATCTTTCTTCTAGAATATCACAGCCACCTTCCAGCTTATCTTCAACCTTCACCTTCTCCTCCCTTCTGTACCTTCCCTTTCAACATGACTTGAGGTCATATCATTTCATTGCTTAAAACCCTTCAACAGAAACCTGTTACTTTTAGGATAAAGTCAGACATTTACAACATGGCCTTTCATAATCTGACCTCTTTTTCCTCACCTTGAACCTTTCTTCCTCCCTAACACTTGTCAGCTCTGTCTTTTGCCATCACACTTTGCTGTTGCAAGCCTCCTATCTTTGTTCTTTGTATTCCTCTGTGTTTATCGTTTCTCTATTTGTTAGAAGTGCTTTCGCTATAGAAAAGCAAGAGGAGAAAAAATAAATAATTGGAATTAGTCATTTAGTCTGCAGAACTCATACAATTGCAAGAATGACATGAAACTAAATGTTAGCAATTTTTATCTTGAGTCATTTTTAATTATCTATATTAAAGAAACAAGGATAATGAAATTAATAATAATAATGTATTTTAAACTTACTATGAGTGACCATTTGAAGCCATCTCACAGAGTTCTTAGAAAAGGATAATTCTTATATTTTAGACCTGAATACATTATAATTACAGTGTGTTTCTCTTTGGTATCAAACATAACTTTATGAATGTTCATGATTAAATTTTATTAGACAAGTAATTGTTGAACCCTGCTGTATGTACTAGGACTCTTTAAGAACAGATAAAATTGATGCCCAAACATATCTCCATTATTTCACATGTCTTTGGATGTACTTGATTTTTATAATTATACATATTAGGTTCAAAATGCAAATAGTTTAGACTTCTTTTAAAATATCAATTACTTATGACAAAGTCTTCCCTAAAATAGAACCTGCATAGTGTGGACTACTGTTAACTATGTTAACTTTTTTTTTTTTTCCCCTGCAGGCACCAACCCTTATTTGACTTTTCACTGTGTTAATCAGGGAACTATTTTGCTGGATCTTGCTCCAGAGGATAAGGAATATCAGTCAGTAGAAGAAGAGGTAATGTACATTAGAATTTTTAGTTATCTTTTCCTGAAACCTATTTTTCCAGGAGATTAGGTAAGCTTGTCTCACTTTGACTTACACTTGCCTATGAATTATTCTGTCTCCCTTAGCCATTGTGGAGGAATATTGCCAAAATAAGAATAGGACTATGGATTAGAATTCTGCCACATGGCTTCATATTTAGGGTTTCCAGTGGATGGTTCTGATCTGTCTTTTTATTCTGTAGACTTTCTTGAAACCCATGTAAGTAAGGACCCTGTTAGGACTTTATATATATATATATATACACACACACACATACATACATAACTTTTTTTTTTTTTTTTTTTTGCTGAAATGCTACCTAAAAATAATATGGAGTAAGGAAGGATCTTGCCTCCTAGATAGCAAATATCTTTTCAACTTGATTTTTATGAAATGTTACAGAACATGATTATAAAATAATATGCCTCATTTTCACATATGCATAGAAAGTATGCCTCATGACTGGAGTCACCTTTCATTTCTTCAATCACAATGATTTTAGTAAGGCAGTTTGTCCGAACCTACTGGTAGAAGGGTGCCATAGAGATTCCCTTTCTACCAATGGCTTCTGCCTCGCTCTGACACAGAATAAACAAGGTGCCTAACACCATTATTTTGCATGGAAAGTCAAGCCTACATTTTTGGTTTTTTTCTTCTTTTTAATTAGTGCTTTTATTTTTCCCGTTCCAGAAACTCAGGGCAGTTACCTTAGGCTAGTATTTCAGCTCATTCTTGAGCCAGTTTTTCAGGAAAGTGTCATGTTTCCTAGTGTCTTATTGCCTAATCTCCTAGTAGTTAATAAATTCTGATAATAATGTCAAAATGTGGTAAATAACTTCAGAAATGGAGTGGTGAGTTAGAGCATTAACCCTTTGAGTCGGTTCTATAAGAAACTTAGGTGTTCAAAACATTTTACTTTTCTATAATAATTCTTTTTAATTTGGAAAGTGGAAGAAGGATGAGTAGTATTGAGAAGAAAGTTATTCCATTTAGTTACATGTGATATTCAACTTCCACTGGTCTGTAGAATATGAAATATTTCACCTAAAAAACAAAAATTATTGATTTCTACAAAATTCTTTATTTTTAGTATTTACTGTATAATAGTAAAATATTAATAGAATATGAGGAGTTTTAGTTTGACTTAGTCACAATGTTGCTTCCATTCTCAATAACATTAGTCATGTAGGTGACTTAATGTGATGTTTTGTTTCTCCCCTACGTTTTCTGAAAAATCTTTCAAAGCTTTTATTTAAAAAGGAAAAGAAAATGTAGCTGTTTAATATTTATGTTTATGATTATTTTCTCACCACAAATACTTATATATTAAACTTGTTGATCAATTTATAGTGGACTCATTTATTCATAAGTGCTAAATGTTGAAGAAATTTAATAGAAGTTGACAACAGAAAGAGTATCTTTAGAATATACCCTGGCATATTTTTAAAAGTTATTTTATTTTATTCTGTAGATGCAGAGTACAATTCGAGAACACAGAGATGGTGGTAATGCCGGCGGCATCTTCAATAGATACAATGTCATTCGAGTAAGTTTTTTAAATTTCAGGATGAAAAGTGGATTGCAAGGCTTTCAGAAAAGCAAATATAAACATATATTTGATTTTTAAAGTCATGTTTTCAAATCAAGGATGATCATTGACCAGTTGCCCTGCAGTCACATGTCACCCTCCTCACTATGATACAGTCTTAATCCTCATTAGAAGTCGAGGTACCCAAGAAACATCAAAGCTACACACACAAGGCTAGGTTAGCTGGTATTAGTGATGCTGATATGGTGATGCGACTCCCGGCTCATCCATCAATTCAGACCATAGCTGACAATCATTTTTATCATCATTTCAAAGTAGCAATAAAGGCCTGGATTTTCCCAACTAATTGAGCCAGTGATTATATCAGAATGCATATATCTCCTCATCTCAGTTCCTTAATTAATAATATGGAATAGATGACTGCTATATGCTTTTTTCCAAAGTGATATCATGAAGATGAATAAAGCCTGTTGAGAATCGATTAAATCCTTAGGGTTAATAGACCTGTGGAAATTATATCAGTGCTCATCAGAATTACCCGGGGAGCTTTTTGCAAAATACATATTGACAGGCCCCTGTATCCTAACATTCAATAAGTCTGGGGAGAAGTCTAGAAATAATCTCTTCCCTCCTCCTCCTCTTTTTTTTTTTTTTTATTTTTTTTTTTTATGTATCTTTATTTTTGAAAGTATGACAGATATGCCCTTTTCCTCCTTTCATTTTTTTTTTTTTTTCTTTACCTCTTCCTCAGGTAGCTTTGAGGTATAGCCAGGTCTAGTGCAGAATAACAAACAAAAACCATACCTGAAAATTATGTCACTAAATAGGCCCAGAGTCATAGAAGCATGAGCAGACTGTTGAACCTCAGAGGGAAGGCAGAGGAGGGTGGGTGGGAAGAGATCAATCAATGAATTTGTATGCATAACCTGTGGACACAGACCATTAAGGGCCTATGCAGGGAGGCGCAAGCTTAAGAGGTTAATGGGGGGGGGGGGGACCAATGTAATACTTTCAACAATAAAGATTTTTTTTAAGTATTTCACTGAAAACCAGGTTATCAACTGAATTACACTAACTGGCATCTTTATCGCCTTATATAATAAAGAGCTAATATGCTAATTAGACCAAGCAGCACAACAACCATCTGGAAGATCTTCCGGATTACCTTCTTGATGAAGCTGGGGCTGCAAGGGCCAAGCCCCTTACACTAATTTTATATATCAGGCCTCTAGTTTTTTAATGATGGTTTAAGCAAACAAAACAAAAATTGGACCTTCCTCTAGAAAAACATACTTTTAATTGAAATCATAAACTGCCAATTAATGTACATTACATTCAATGGCTTCTTTCTTCCGTATCCTTAAAGATTCAAAAAGTTGTCAACAAGAAATTGAGGGAACGATTCTGTCACAGACAAAAGGAAGTGTCTGAAGAGAATCACAACCATCACAATGAGCGCATGTTATTTCATGGTGAGTACCATGCCAGTAATTACATCCCTTGGGCTTTCACAGATCCCAGCAGAATGAAAAGCCTATGTTACTGACTATATTCAACTTATGTTAAAAACTAGGGGCCCAGTGCACAAAATTTGTGCATTGGTGGGGGGTAGGGTGTCCTTCAGCCCAGCCTGTCCCCTCACAGACTGGGAGCCCTCAGGGGATGTCCTACTGATAGCTTAGACCCACTCCCCGTGGGAGGCAACTGGGCTCATCAGGGGAACACGCCAGCCCCACCACCCCGCTGCTGCGGCCACTGCCAGTCACCACAGCCACCAAGGTGTTTCCATCAACATCTTTGCTTGGTGAGCACCAAGGGCCCTTGATAAGATTTTAGTACATGATAATTTATGTATAATAGACATCTTACAAAATAAACTTTTTACTTATGTATTATATTAATAATGTAATATTAATCTGCCAAGTTTAAATAGTATGTAACTAATTGATACTTTAGAAAAGTATCCAAAAACTAATTTTACTATCTTTATACTTTTAGGTTCTCCTTTCATTAATGCCATTATTCATAAAGGGTTTGATGAGCGACATGCATACATAGGAGGAATGTTTGGAGCTGGGATTTATTTTGCTGAAAACTCCTCTAAAAGCAACCAGTATGTTTATGGGATTGGAGGAGGAACAGGCTGCCCCACGCACAAAGATCGGTCATGTTATATATGTCACAGGTGAGCATCTTGGCTTTCATGGACTGGTTGCTGTCCTCAGGTCATGAACACTTTCTCAGGCTATGCAGAAGCCACAGTTATTCTCAGTCTTAGTCCTAATGAGTCAGACAGGTTGGAAATAGGGTAGGTATAGTTGGATCAGCCAACCCTAAGAGGAGCAATGAAAATGGGGCTGATATTAATGGTGATAAAACCAGATATAGGTCAACCAATCACAGATTACAATGATCCTCCCTCCATCTTGGCTTCTTCTAACTTGGGCTTCACATTTCTTGCTTCAGAATCAACAAGAAAAGGGTCAGAATTATTTCTTTAGGACAAAGAACCTGGAGCTCTGACTAGAAAGTCATGTTGAACTAAGACACACAACTTCTATAATCAAGTAGAACCTTTAATGTGCTTCTGATATTGCTATTAATGTCTTGATGCAGGATATATAATTGGCCTTTAAAAGTCCAACTTCAGAATATTAACTTTGGAACTATTAAACAAATGAATATTAGCTTTTTAAATAGGACTTTTTAAAGCTCAGAAATTGGAGAGAATAATAGTATACTATTAAACAAATGAATATTAGCTTTTTAAATAGGACTTTTTAAAGCTTGGAAATTGGAGAGAATAATAGTATATTCCCTCTAAAACCAATGAAAAAAAATTTTCCTTCTCTTTTCCCTTCTCTACCCCCTTCCTTGCCAATAGAAAGTATACAAGGAATTGTACTTTACAGAGATTGCAGTTTGTTACATTTCTCTTTAAAGTAATCAAATATATTTATTTTTGCAAAATTGGGTTTATAAGAAATCTTGTAATTCAGTTAAAACCTCAAAAAAAAAAAACCATATAACCTTGAAATTCATTATAATTGTTGACCTTAAAACGTACCACTTTCCGTTACATTGAAACAAATTGTAGTGGTCAGCAGATCTAAGATGGATGCCATATATACAGAAAGAAATTTCTTTTCATTAATCTGCTGTGATTGGTAACACACAAAATTTCCCAAGAATACGTGACACGCAAAAGTTTCTCTTTGTTGCTTCAAACCTAACTCTTCTGGAACCAAAATAAACTATAAAAGTGAACTTAGGCCCTAACTTGTTTAGCTCAATGGATAGAGCATTGGCTTGCAGACTGAAGGGTCCCAGGTTTGATTCCAGTCAAGGGCATGTGTCCAGATTGCAGGCTTGATCCCCAATGGGGGGCGTGCAAGAGCCAATCAATGATTCTCATCATTAATGTTTCTATCTCCTTTCCTCTCTGAAATAAATAAAAATGCTTTAAAAAAAAAAAAAAAAAGTGAACCTAGATGAGGATGAACCGTCATTCATTAAAATTGGAAACACGGTTTTTGCCTTAGCCAGGATTCCCTAGAAGCAGCCTGAAGCGAAAGTTTATTCGCCAGCATTTTCTTGGAAGTTCAATCCTAGGGAAGCAGGAAGTGAGGTCCAAGAGGAGGCAGGACAGACAGGCTCATTGGGAGCGAGGGCACAGTTTCAGGACGAGTGCAATTGGTTGCTCAGGCCAGGAGACATCTTCAGAGAAGCCGTATGAACTAAAACATCTCAGAACAGAACATCGTGGGAGAAAAGATGAATTTATCTGCTGGCTCCTGTCTTGCCTGAGTCAACATTCGCTCCACAGGCCTTTAGTAATTCCTTCAAGCCTCATTTTGGGTTGCTGCATCTGGAATGCAGTACCATGCACAAGGCAAGCACGTGAGCAGGCTGGAGCCATTACTCCCACCTGTGCACTACCCGCTGCAGCCCAGTGGGCCGCTGGGCAGACCCTGCTGCTTTTCCTACCTCCGCAGCAAAGTGAGGCTCTGGGGCAGGAAGCAGAAGGGAGGAGGCAAGCCTGTCAGGTCAGGCTTTGTATGACATATGGACTGGGCGTGGCCATGGCACTGGGCCCAGCTGGCCTAGTGGGCAGAGCCCAGTGATGCCATGATGCCGCCATAATGTGGGTATGGAGCTCAGAAAGCCTCCCTCTCATGGTGGTGAAAACCCTTTCTCTGGGTCCAAGAAAATGCAGTTGCAACCAAGCCAGCATCCCAGAGGGTCATCAGTAGCATCACACTAAAACAGCCAGCCTAGGAAGAACCCAGTTATACTAAGTATGGCACAATGTTTCATTGGCTGAAAGGAATAACTCTGAACAGTCATGTTGCAAAGATCAGACTTCTTTAGTAAAAAACTATTTGAAGGATAACTACCATGTTTCCCCGAAAATAAGACATCCCCTGAAAATAAGACCTAGCGCAACTTTGGGAGAAAAAATTAATATAAGACACTGTCTTATTTTTGGGGAAACAGAGTACTTATATTTAACAGAGTGACCAACCTTACTGTTTAGTTTATACGTTGTTCATATTAAGTGTTGGTGAACTTTAATGGGCCACATATGATTTCTATCACAATGACTCAACTCTGCCCTTATAGTGCAAAAGCAGCCATAGACAATATGTAAATGAGTATGTGGCTGTGATCCAATAAAACTTTATTTATAAAAACAGGTGACAGACTGAATTTGCCGCATGGGTCATGTTTGCCAACCTTTCTTCTCCTCTATAATATTTAACATCTGCTCCAATTAATGTTTTGCCCGTTACATTGTGTAATTGTCAGCCTTGTGTTTAAGCAAGTATTATTTTTAATATGAACCACTCTTACTATTATTTTTTTTAATATATTTTATTGATTTTTTATAGAGAGGAAGGGAGAGAGATAGAGAGTTAGAAACATCGATGAGAGAGAGAGACATCGACCAGCTGCCTCTTGCACACCCCCTATTGGGGATGTGTCCGCAACCAATGTACATGCCCTTGACTGGAATCGAACCTGGGACCTCTCAGTCCGCAGACCGACGCTCTACCGCTGAGCCAAACCAGTTTTGGCCACTCTTACTATTATTTATCTCATCCAAGTTTTTACTTTTTCACAATGAGTAAAACCATATCTTAACTTCAGTTGCTGCTGCCATTTGCTGATTTTCTTCACTTCATTCCTATCATTCCATACAAGCACTTGGTTTTCACTAGTATTTTTTCTTTTCCACTAGTTAAAACAAGCCAGGTATTTTTTATGGTTGATTTCTAAACCACACCAAAACTGCTTTAAACTTAAAGGATAACTATTGAGCCTACTCTTTATGACAAATCAGTGTGTCAAATCTCATCCTTTTTCTACTCATAAATATGAAAGGGCATTTAAGTTAGCTTGTTGTCTTGTGTTAGAATTTTTTTTAAATCAATAAACCTAACAATTATATTTCAAGATTTAAAGCTTCCTTCAAGGCATTGCTTTCCTCTTTCCTTTAGACAAATGCTTTTCTGTCGAGTGACCCTTGGAAAATCCTTTCTGCAATTCAGCACCATGAAAATGGCTCATGCCCCTCCAGGACATCACTCAGTCATTGGGAGACCAAGTGTGAATGGGCTGGCATACGCCGAATACGTCATCTACAGAGGAGAACAGGTATGTTCCTCATCAGATGAGCTTACAGTTCTTAAAAATGACAATACAGTATATTTAGACCAGGTAAGAGTTAAAGAAAGCCATTTAGTAAAACACCTACCTCATAGTCTGTTAGCATTAATTGCTTCAAATCATGAATGAAGATATCAAAATTCTTTTGGCATCAGCTTTACACACACAACCCATCAGTCACCTGACAGCCAAGTAACATTGTGAACAAGAGGGCAGAATAGGAACAAGATGAGCCTGGAACATCTGGAATGCCAGAAAGTAATGAAGTGCTCAAAAAAATCATGGGGCCTTAGCCAGTTTGGCTCAGTGGATAGAAGGTCAGCCTGTGAACTTGAAGGGCCCGGGGTTTGATTCCTGTCACAGGCACATGCCCGGATTACAGGCTCGATCCCCAGTAGATCAGGCAAGAATCATCGATGGATGCTAAATCTAGGGGATTTTAATCAGGAGAAGGATATCTACATGGTCTTTAATTAGAAAAGAGAAAAAAATCAGATATTTTTCTTCATTGGTGCCCATTATTCAGTCGTCCCACCTCCTCTTTACCCTGCCCCAGGGTAAAATTTAAATTCCCCCCGGGGGGAGGGGGGTGCAATACCTGACCAGATCAGAGTTAACATCACCAGTGAGGGACAGATAGACAGAGTGTGCTTCTTTCTAGGTGTGACATTCTGAGATGGACACATCATTCATGCAGTATTCCAGCCAAAAATGCATAACCTCATCTAATCAAAATGAGGAGTGTTCTATTAATAAAAAATGTTGGAGACTGATTCTTCAAAAACATCAATGTTATAAAAGACAAAGAAAGGCTTTGAAAACTTTCCAGATTAAATGAAACGTAAGAGACAGAACAACTAACTTAATGTTCTGCCCCCAAATTAGATCAAAATTGGAATGTGAGTGGTAGATAGAAGTCTAGCAATATAAAATTGTTTTTTGTCTTTTTAAGTTTATCTTTATTATTAAAAGTATTACAGTTATCCCTTTTTTTTTTTCATTGACCCCTCCAGCCAGCTCCCTGCCCCAGGCCTTCACCACACCATTGCCCATGCCCACGGGGTATGCATATATGCATACAACTTCTTTGGTTAATTCTTCCCACCCATCCCCAGCTATAAAAGAGAATATCTCTCTCCTTAGGGAATAAATACTGGCTTACTTATGGATAAAGAACCTTGAAAATATATATATTACTTACTCTCAAATGGTTCAGGAAAAAAAAAAATGTGTCTGTGTATCTGTCTATCTGTCTACCTGGTATATGCAGAGATAGGAGGAGGTGTACATAATAAAGCATTAGGGATATATAAAACCATGACAATAAATGGATATGGGTAAAGGGTATACAGTTGTTTGGGGTACCATTTCATTTTTGCAACTTAATGTGTAAGTTTGCAGTTGTTTCCAAATAAAAAGGTTTTTTGTTTTTGTTTTTTAATTACAAACTGATTTACATTTATTTTTTTTCTTGATTAATAATTTTTTAATTTTTTGTTGTTGTTGTTGATTATGGTCTTACATAATTGTCCTTATTCCCCCATTCCCATCTCAAACCCCTCCCTAGATATGCCCCGCCCCTCCTGTCCATGGCCACTGGTTAGGCCCATATGTATGCACACAAGTCCTTTGGTTGATCTCTTCCCCTTACCTCCATCCCCCTTATTTTCCCTCTGAGGTTTGAGAGTCTGATTGCTGGTTCTCTTTCTCTGGGTCTGTTTGTGGTGTTCATTATTTCCTCTAGATGTGTGAGACCAAATAAAAAGGTTTAAAGGCTACCAAAGATTAAGTTTATCAAAGTTTTGTTTATTAGAAACTCCAGACTTCTAGAGAAAATATGTTCACTTTGACTCAGTAATTCCAATTCTAAAAATTCTTATTAATATAATCAGTGATGGTCACAAAAAACCTGTTGTGCCCATCACTGTCTAATCACAATGAAAAATGTAAACCTAAGCATTCAACAAAAATGAAAAGATTTCATAAATGTGATTATATTTTTATGCCTATGACTTTAAAAAATGCATTTGTGTGACAGATATAAATAAGTAATTTCAGTTTTATTTCACCATATGCTTTTCAGAATTTTGTTATTAATGTAAATATCATTTCTTTCATATTTGGATGGCTTTAAAATTATCTTCAAACTGTCGCCTGTACATTGGTGACTCAACATATCTCCCCCTTTCTCCTTATAAATCAGTGGGTTACATCATCTGTGATGAATTTGAAATTGGTTCAGCAGAGTTATTCTTTCATCTAACCAACTTGTATATAACACGTTCTGTTGAGCACTGTGCTAGGTGAGGTGAGTAGGGGTTTTCTTATTTAGGCACCTGGCTCTCTAATGAGGGAGGAGTGCAGTGTAACCAATGACAGTATTCAAACACACATAACATCTTAACCATTGCTAGATTGTAGGCTTTGTATGCTTATATGCAGATCTGTAGGTGGATCTCCTCTTTCTGGCACCTGTTAATGGGATGGCCTTTGTAACCTTGAGCATATGCAATAGAATATTGGTTTGGATCTGCAGCCTCTGAGGCTTTCACATCAAGTAAGGCTTTACTACTGTAGCTGCCAAAAGGGTGACCTTTTTCCTTCCTGTCCTTCAGGCATACCCAGAGTATCTCATCACGTACCAGATCATGAAGCCGGAAGCTCCTTCACAGACTACAACCGCCGCGGAGCAGAAGACCTAGTGAATGCCCACTGGTAAAGCCAGATCAGATTTAAGCCTAGGACTGGACTCGAATGGACTCTTTCCAACAAAACCAACATTCTATAAATCCCTGACAGCCTAGGAAAGCTGTTTGTCATTACGAAGCATTGCTATAGTGATGGATATAGTATGAGTAACTGATACATACTCAACTGCTGCTGTTCCCTTTGAGGAAATGTTTACAGGGGCGGCCTTTTAATATAACTCAGGCTCACTTTCATTGCAGTTAGCCATTTCTAAAATAAGATTGCTTTGATCTAGACTTGGAAATGGAAAAAAAAAGAAAACATAAACAGTACGTTCCCAAATGTTCACAATTTACACACTACATTTGCTTTGTTATATATGCCTTTTATATAACAAGTACGCATACCCGGGCGCATTCTTAGTTTTTTCTAAACAGGCGTCATTGGCTTTTTTTTTTTTTTTTTTCTTACTTTGATAATGAGCTGGAGCCTTCTGATGATATTTTGCACAAAGTCTCACTGACTAAATCATTAGCAATGCAACCTAAGCTTCTGGCTGAGCAAGACTAGTCTCCACTTTTTTTTTTTTCACTTTGATTTATATGTGTACTTCTTATAAACATGAATTAAGATGGAAAGGGAAGATATCAGGGTTCGGTCCTTTTATTGATTGGCCAGTCTTACAAGAGAAAGGCACAAGCAGCAGCCTGGCTTGGAGCTCCCAATGTGAGAGAAGCAGAGGATGAGAGCCTGCTGTCTCCGGTACAAGCCTGCCTCAGAGGCATCAAGACCTGCTGGGGCCCAACGGAGCCAGGGATGGGGGCGCTGCCATCAAGCCTGGAGGTGAGACAACCAGGGAGGGCTGTAAATAAGTAGCAAGTAAGAAGCCGCTTCCTGCGAAGAGCCTGTGGTTCTGTGCTGGTTAAGCAGAAGGGGACTGCGGGGACGCCTCAAAGAAAAAAATCCTTGTCATGTAACCCGCCAGAATTGTCCCAGAACAGCTGCCTTACCCAAATTCAGTCAAAATGTACTTCATTGGAGTCACAGAAATATCACTTACTATTTCTCTCTGTTGAAAGCTAGTGTTTAAGTCCTATTTAGCAGATAAAGTAGGCACAAATGCAATGACTTCTTTGTTTACTCAAGATTTGGCGCTTATTTTGAGTGAGGTTCTTCAGATAGTCTAGATAGGACCCTGCACTAAATTTTAGAATGGTATCGTCAAGCATCTTAATAGACAAGAACAAAAACTTGAAACCAAAGCGCTTTCAGTTATTTTCTTAATGAAGATGGAGAAATGCCATGCTGTTACTTCATGAAGTTACTACTTTGTTTAGCTTGTTTAATCAACATTTGCTAAATGCACAGACACTTGTAAAAAATCAGTGCAGTTCTTACACATACCCTTTTTACTTAACTGAACATCAAATAAGTGCATTGGTTTATTACTTTCACATGCTGTGCACCTACTCAGCTTTGAAGCAAAGTAATATGTGGTAAAGAAAAGGAGAAACAGGATGGCACAAACTTGCCATTCCAACTTGAAGGCCTGAAAACTAATTTGTTTTTTAATGCAGGCTGATTTAGCTGTGACCTCATTTAATCATCTAAAGCAAAATAAAATAGTTACATGCAAAGTTCCTAGAATAGGCTCTTAAAATATACATTTCACTTTCTCTCTGGCTTGAGTCCGTTGCTAGAACTAGGCACTGGGCATTAGTTTGAGTTTTCTAGCTCAAAATTAAATCAAGAATTAGCCTCTGTTTTTTGCTTTTGATGAAGTGTCAGTGGCCAGGCCGGGTGTGTGTGTGTCTCGGCTCCTTGTGTAATATCACTAGAATTCCATAGGGAGCTTTGAAGTTTGATATTCATTAAGAGGGCTGTCTCCCCCTTTCCTTCTGTTTTGCTGTGTAACAATGGGTTGGTGAAATTGGCATCCGTGTAGTTTTCAGTGGCTGTGAAAGTGTATATTATCTCCCCTCTTAGACATAGTTTAAAATGGTAAACACAGCTGTGATTTTTAGTTAAGTAAAAGGGTTAATATGGTATAGATACCAAAAGCTTTATAGCTTTTCAAAAAAGATAGGCCTCTACACGACTATAGTTGTATGTCATTTCCATCATGCTAACTGGATTAATGGATGTGCCAGTTTTAAACTTCAGCCTTACACTTGAGAAGTCAAACTGTGGTTCAGTATCTAAACTGCCGATGTTATATATCGTCCATTCTGTGTGCCGAGTAAAGGTACCGTGTAAGGGAGACATTTCAGTGCTTCTTGGCTTAAAATGATTCAAGTATATAGTAGTTCTTGGAAGAAGGGTACATATTATTCATCTGCTAAAGAGAATGGGTTCATTAACATCTCACAGGAACCAAGTACATGTCTTCAAAACTTGGAAACCAAAGGTCATCATGAGTGTACTCAAATTAGCAAGTCAGTTACATTTGGGATTCCCATCTAAAGCAGTTTAAAAACCCTTTGGAGTGTAAAAGCATGGCATTGAACTAGGCTGAAGTCCACTTAGGTTCTTGTATTCGTGCATACTCTACAGAAACACTGGCAAGTTGACTTCCAACATGGCCTCCCCTGCACCGGCTGCTCTGTTACCCAAACTGAATGAGAGGGAGAATCTGGACACCGTTAGCCCTACTGCAGTGCTGACATCAGTGCTAGGCATGACCAGCCTGGATGCTTGAGGCAGACAAGTGCTCTGTACTGGACTCTTTCTCCTATTTGGCCTCCCCTTTCCCCAGGCTGCTAGTCTGGAATTATAGATAGCGCCAGCAATTACCTTTGACTCCACTCATTTTCCTATCTTCATTTTAAATCTTGCAAAAGGAGACTGTACCTGTTTTATATCACACCCAGACCCAGGTGTTCGGCCTGCTGCTTCGCTAAACAAATGATAGTGTGGAACCCAGAGTTTTAGTTCTCTGCAAAATGACACCCGTACAACCAGGATTGTTACTTACCTTCTCCTTCTTGGAATTTAGTTTCTAGCTTTTCAATAACAAGTAGAATAAACATCATTAGGGTGTTTCCATGAAACAGCATCCTTCTGTTCTTTGGAGCTTGATGTTAATTTCTCTTTGCTATCAGTGCATTGATAGACATTGAGAAATGCCTGAATGTGGCAAATAAAGTAATATAGATTAATATGCTATTATTATAGCCTTTATTCAGAAAAACAAAACTTGGTGTACTCTGGAAGAACTGCATGAGAATGCAGTGAGCTGGCTAGGTTTTTCTGTTTCAGTACATCTCCCAGTTGCACAATGGTTATTGGATGCCACGTACCTTCTTTTTAAACATGTGCATTCTCTGGATTTCTGTAAACTCTTTGAAACAGGAATGGTGAGTATTTTTAAACACCTTTCCCCAGTGTGTCCAGACCCCATTTGTGTGATAATCTGCCTTTTTACCAAAAAATGCCCATAGCGTGACAGTTTTCTTTTGGGCTAATAATATATTGCATAGTGAAAGAGATTTTAATCATTCAGGGAATACTAAAAACTGACATTAATACAGGGTTTCATGTGTCAGAAATTTATTTCAAGACTAAAGTTAAACTTGTCTGATATCAAGACAGGAATGAAAAGAAAGTAATTGTGAAGATAATGTTTAGCTTTGGTTGGGCACATCTAGTATAGGACAAGGAAATGCTTTTCTTTTCTTTTTTTTTTTCTTTTTTTTTTAAACCTCCCTTAAAGGTGAGGCTTCTTCAGACACTTTGTGGGTTCTGAAATTAATACACAATTAAATATTTCTTAAGAAAGCCTTAACTATGGCAGAAACTTTTGAGCCTTTTATATCTTAATAAAAAGTTGGAATTCCATTTCTTGGTGTTTGGAGAGTATCAGTGAGCCAGGTATGTCTCTGTATCTCATACCTGTTAGGCTTGTTTGATGAGGGTATGTTTCATAGGTCATGCTCCCTTCCATGCAGAGAGCTGAAAGAATCAGCCCATTTTCCTTTATGTCTGAAACCCTCCATTTGCCAAATCATCTTGTTTGGAGAAATGTAGAAAGATTTCAGAACTTGCTAAGTTTTGTGTATGTGGGGGATACAGCAACAACTCACAAGCGATACCTTGTAGAATTTCAGTGTTGTCCAGGCTGTTTTTCAATCATCTTCAACTAAAAAGCATGGGGACGTGTGAAAAGCAGTAGGAAGTTAAAGATTTCCTATACTTTCTAAGACATATACTCGTGTGTGATGGTTCTGTGCATCCGCCGTGGGTCTGCCTCCTTTGAAACAGCGTTCACACTGGAGAGATGGCTGCATTTTGGCTCTTAGATCTCTTATATTATCTGTTTCACACTTTCACATCTCCACACCCCACCCTGCTATCCATCTTTTCAAACGGATTTCTTGTTCTTCAGAACTCAAATTGTTTTATTATTATTATTTTAATCTGTCTGCCTATTTCTGCAGACAACCCTGAAGCATTTGCAGAGAAATGCAGTTCAACTCTGAGAGTGGAGTCCCTTACACACACACACACACACACACACACACACACACTCACTCTTTGCCCCTCCCACGGTTCAGATAAAAAAGCTGGAAAACACAACAGTAAAAGTTAGAAAGGAACCAAAACCTGCTAGGCTAACAGCCTAGAGCTAGAAGATGACCTTGACTATATAACCCTTGTATTCATTACACAAAATATTTAAACTCTTCATGTGCATATATGCCTGCTTCTGCTTCCATTGTTTCAAGCTCATTCTGTCTTTGTGATAGTAGTGTTTGTCTTTGATGCCTACAGACTTAAAAGGTACTTTTTCAACAAGGTTTCTCAAAAACATTTACAAAATCAGCTGGGAGGAAATCTACAATGCTCCCGGCAACCGCAGTTAGCATAGTACGCGTGTTTTCTCCTCGTGTTGTGGTCTGTGTGGTACCAGTGTAGTGACTCTGGTTCCCTGTTGGTGTAGTTTTATTTTGTCTCTGTGTGACCCACTGTGGCAAGGGTTTCGGTCCCCTCCCCTTTCTTTCCTGCGTTTGTCTATCTGTAGGATTGCCAGAGAGAATACAAGACATCCAGTTAAATTTGTATTTCAGGTAAATAATTGTTTAGCTTACCTATGTTTAGCTTACCTATGTAGCATTACTTGCTACTTATTTACAGTAAAGATTCTTTATTATTTACTTGAAATTCAAATTTAACTGAGCACCTTGGTTTTTAGCTTTGTTGTGTTTTCTTTTACTAAGTCTGGCAACCCTATGGATTTGGTCACGGAAGATGGCTTACAGCATGTAATTCTTCTAGCCTCCACTCTCTCGTAGAATGAAAGACCTTTTCTCCGTCCCCCTCTCCTTTCCAGAAGAGGGCAGCGAGGAGTTAGCCTGCCTGCGTGGTGGGTTCCTAATTTAAGGCATCTTTATGATTATATTTAACCTGTAATTGTGCTTTGGCTACATGTCTAACTTCCAGTACTTGTAATTGTTTAATATTCAATAAAAACATTTTTCAAATATCCTGTATGTGGACAGCAGTTAGCTCTGAAGTGTTTTCATTTCCCTGTCTGCTCATTTCAGCCTGGCCAACCTTAACACAGCTGACTTCAAACTGCCTGAACCCAAACAGCCGTTTTTCCTCCTGACTTTCTAGCGTGTTCCATGCTGGGAGCACCTCATCCTCACCTCTGAGTGCATGTGGGAGTGACAGACATTCAGGACCGCAGGAGAAGCACATGTTGCTTTTAGAGATGTCTCTGCAACAGAGGCATCTGCCCCAGCCAGACCTCGCACCAGTTAACAGGGCAGACCAGAGGCCCTGCCACCTCTGTGCTCAGAGAGCCCTTCGCTGCACCTGCCTGCCTCCGGTGATGCATGAAATGCCTCACACAGCGCCTGGCACACGCACTGAGAAAACGGTTTCTTTTCTCCCCCCGCCTTTCTCCACACCTAGTGATTCCCTAGATAGCAAATTGGAAGCTAGAATTTTATCAGATTCCTTTGCCAGAGGGATTGTCAGAGCCACCAGGAGACATAAATTACGTAATTGGAAGCTCTGACAGCCCTGCAAATAACAGTAGCTCTCGCTGAGCCCATACAATGAACCAGGTGTGTTGTATACATTTCCTACCAACCCTGCAAAATGAAGAAACTGGCACTAAATGGTGAAATAGTTTCTTTTGTATCCCAGAATTCTTCCCACTATGAACTGTGGTTCTGACTGATACACACCACCAAACCCTGACTGTGTATGGAGTGTGAGTGTTGAAGCGGGAATGAGGACAGCGAGCTGCTGCTACTGCAAGGTTTTCTATCTGTGTCTGGTGAGATCAGATTCTAAATGCCACTGGACTCGGGTCCTCCCCTTGGGTTACTGCTGTGTTAGAAACAGAAATGGTCTGAACTGTGCATAAAAAGCAAATGGGATATGAATAAACAACTTGGAATATCAGCAACTTGGTTTGGTCATTGAAACAGAAGGATTCCAAGGGCCTGCTTTTATAGCCGAAACTCCTGTGGAGGCACTGGGAAGTGTTTGTGGGGGTGGAAAGAATGGTTATAAATCACTTGCTAGATTGGATGTACTTTCCACAGGAAATTACTTCCTAGGAAACTAAGTCCTGTTACTATAAAGGGGCAGTGCATCCTGGGCAGCAAATTTTGAAGAAGTGTGTGTGTGTGTGTGTGTGTGTGTGTGTGTGTGTGTGTGTGATATGTTTTTAATTTCTGAGAGAAGAAGGGAAAGGGAGACAGAGAAACATCAGTGATGCAAGAGAATTGTTGATCAGCCACCTCCCGCACACCCCTACTGGGGATTGAGCCTGCCACCTGGACATGTGCCCTGACCAGGAATCAAACCATGACCCCCTGGTTTATGGGTCAATGCTCAACCACTGCACCACACTGGCCAGCTGAAGAACTGGGTTGGAATGATACTGCCCGCATGGAGTGCCTGGTTGTTGTGGCCTAGTTCTCAGGTTAGGGCCAGCCCAGCATATTGTGGTAACACCTGTGAACCTTTACCATTTGGCTCTGTCCACTTCTCCCATGATTTTAGGGTCATCACAGTCCAATAGGCCTCCAGGCGGAAGGGAAACATGGTGCTACATTCGGAATAATTAAAGGTCATCTGTTCCCATTAAGGTGGACTGGCTGCCAGGTTTTCTGGGTTGGCATCTACCCTGAAGACCTGGCCTGAGCAACAGCAGTGGAGGGGAGGTGGGTTTATGTCTTCATCTGACTAATTTCCACCTGTCATCTGGCTAATAAAATCGCTCAGCTGAAGACAATATGTAGGTAACATTTTCATTTTGTTAATATGATTCTTCACATATTTGCTTGGCCAGTAACTTGATTGGTAAGCCATTAGTCGGTCATCCTCAGCCTGCCGCGGAGGTGGAAGAGGCTCCCTCAGCTGCACCCAGCAGCTGTGAGCCCGGCTTCTGGCTGAGTGGCGCACCCCCTATGGGAGCGCACTGACCACCAGGGGGCAGCTCCTGCATTGAGCGTCTGCCCCTTGGTGGTAAGTGCGCATCACAGTGACCTGTTGTTCCACCATTTGGTTGATTTGCATATTAGCCTTTATTAGATAGGATTATCAAATATTAGGCAGCCATTTAAAAAGGTGAAGCAGAACTGTGAGATACAGGCCGTGCATCCTGAAATGGGAAAGCCAGCTGGGATTCAAGTGTGTGCATGGGGGCACCACCATCACCAGCACAGGAGGGTCTGAGCAAGCACCTTTGCCCACCTCTATTGCTTTGTGCCTTGACAGCTCAAGAGACAGGATGATTCTTCCATTTCTGTGTTCTCCAGAGTTACTGCCCCCTAACGTGGGGCAGTAAGAGTAAATGGCTGATCAGACTGCGGGCAGGGAACACCCAGGAGAAAGATCCTGGCTAATGCCTCGAATAGTATCCTGTCAGACACATGACTGTATAAAATGCATAAATAAATGACTCAATGTCATTATACCAATGTTCCTTTAGGTTTTTAAAAATAAAAAGAGCAGGATGTAGGGTGGGGATATGGCGTAGGAACTTCAACTTTTTACTCATGTATTTGTTATTTGAATCCTTGGTAGTGTACATCTTATTGGAGTATAATTGACATACCGTAAAACCTACCCATTTGAAGCGATTCAGTGATTTTTGGTGAACTTACTGAACTTAAACCATATACAATCAACCAAAGTGATGACAAAGTCAGTGTGGGAATGCCTTCCATGGGGAGGGGTGTCCCAGCAGTGGGATTACCTTCTACGTTCTTGTCACAGCCCTAATCACTGTGCTTGGGCTGTTTAAGATTGACGTCCGCCATTGAGGAGCCATCCTTCTCTCTCCGTCCTGTGCTGAGCACAAAGTACATTCTCAGATGAAAGACACTCCCTGTCTCTTACCATTCAATTCTTGGTGGTCTCTCACTATCCGAGTGGTGGTCAGGGAGCAGAAATGGGCTCACTGACTTTCCCAGCCGGCCGCACCACAGGTAGTGCTAACTGCAGAAGATTGTTAAATAGCCCAGATCTTTCCTCCCCCTTCCAAGTCATCATAGCAGCACAGTTTCCAAGGAAAGGATCACCCGAGCCAAAGGTGGTTGAAAATGCATTTATTTTTTTGTCAAATGATCTTTTTCTAGCAATAAATAAAAACAGACATGTCAACTTTTCTAAAAAACAAAACCAAAAAAAAATCCCCTACACTATATACATCCTACAGAGATACAAGCATATCAAATGTAGAAATGACATCACTCTGGAAGATGGGGCTATTTACAGAAGTTACAAGTATTGCATTGCTCGGTGGTGAAGAAGCCTCCCCCTGGGATGACTCATAAACTCTAAGGAAGGACAGGTCGGGTCGCCCCTGTGCTCCTGGGAGATGGGAGGATATCTTCAAAGAGGTGAAACTCTCCATTCGTCTTGATAGACAAGGAGACTTCCGAGGAAAAACATCAACATGCAGACACTGTCTTCAGTTCCCTAACAGTTCTCCCCAGTTCAGCTTTCACGCGTGAAATGGTAACCCCTTCAGATCACATGCTTCTTGAGCTCCTGAGAGAAACCACCTTGACCCTCAGCCAGGCTGGGACTGAAAGGGAGACCAGGCTGAACCAGTGACAAGCCCTTGGGAGTAGTTTCGTGAGCACGGATATCAAGACCCAACACCAACAGCACCCTGCCACCCAGCAAGGGGCTTCCTGAACGTGAGTTACGCATGGGAAGTGCTTGCAGGGCTTGGAAGCATGCTGATGGCTGGGCCTTCTTCCAGAAATCCTTGCTTAGCTGGTTCTGGGATAGCCGGGTAGCAGGGTTTTCTAAGCTCCCCAGCTGATGCAAAAGGGCAAAGCAACCAACCACTGCTTTAAGGTGGGCTTGGTGGCCAACAGCCCCCTCCCGTCACATTTGAACCAACCATCCCACCTCCCTGTCCACCTGCCAAGGATTTTAAAAACTCCCTCACGGCTTCCCAACCCGGAAGAGCACCTGAAGAAATGGCCTCAGGAGAGGAGGACTGAAGCTGGGTGCTCCAGGCCACCTTGCTCATGGTGACTTCGGCCTGCTCCTGAGGAGGAGAAGCCAAGTCCATGTCCCTTAGCGCTCTCTTACTCGTGTAGGTGTGTAATTTGAATTTTTGGTAGTGAACATCTTATTGGTTGCATAATGGACATACCCTAAAAAACACCCTTACACCGCAGATTCTGAAAGGGAACTGGCAGCTCTCCTTGGTCTGTCTACAGAAGATACAGAGTCTAAGCTGATCAACAGTGAAAAGTGGCCGTTATAGAAATGCCTCATCACCAGAAACCACTTCATGGGAGGGATGTCTACGGAAAGCCACTGGCCATGTGGACTCACCCTGTGGTGGTCCAAGTGGCTTCTGATAATGAGAGAACAACCACCCCAAACCCCCTTTTCCAATCAAGCCAGCTCCCTACGCTATTTCTGAGAGGTTGGGGACTCACACTGTGGTCAGGACACAGAAAATGGCTTTATAAATAGCAGGCTGGCACTGCACCAGAAGACTCGCATTGCAAAGCCGGGAAGACCTGCACGGGCTGGTCCCGGGCTCCGCCTGTCCGGGGCTGGGACCGACCGGGGAAGCCGAATACATAGATTTTGGCAAATGTATCCTTTCCCTCTCCAGGCCAAACCCACCTGGCCTCATTTATCAAAGCATGAGGAGACCTCCAGGGATCAAGGAAAAGGTGGGAAGGTCCAACTGTACTGTCTCTGAATAGTCCCATTGTCCAGGAACCCCAGCCCCACACCCCTCACCCCTAACTATTCATCTGCACAGCTCCTGGGGAAGGAGGGAATCTCGGGCATCACCACCCAAAGAGGGGGCCTGGCAAAGGCGGGACAGAGAACGCCAGCACAGGTTCACGTTGGCAGAAGGAAATCTAAGGAACCGGGTCCTGTCTGGACCGCCAGGCCTAGCAGCTCCTCCCACCCAACACCGCCCTGACTCAGGCTGGACGTTATTTCCGGGCGAGCAAGCATGTTCATTTAGATCTAGACTCTCCAATAACTAAAAAAAAAAAAAAAAAAAATGCTCTCATTTCTAGACAAGTTTGCAAGGACCTCTAATCCGGCACTCGGAAACACGGCTCCACAGAAAAAGCAACACATCGCTGTTCCCTCTCCCTCCCCCCAAGCCCAGCCCACAGAAAGCGTCCTTGCCCCTCCAGAGCCCTTCCTCTGGGTGGAAGGCCCCTTCACGTGGCATTTCTCAAGACAGGATTCTGAAGTCGGCACCCAAATGCCCCTCACAGCACCCCACAGCCACCGCCTCAGGCTCAGGACCTAAGCCAAGGTCTCCCCCAACTTCTCCCACGCTTCCTGAAGTCCAGGAAGACCTGAAATGTGGTGTCCACTCCCGTTTATTCAAAAGAGGGCCTTTGGCTGAAACTGGTTTGGCTCAGTGGATAGAGCGTTGGCCTGTGGACTGAAGGGTCCCAGGTTCCATTCCGGTCAAGGTCATGTGCCTTGGTTGCGGGGTGTGCAAGAGGCAGCTGATCGATGATTCTCATCGATGTGTCTCTCTATCCCTCTCTCTTCCTCTCTGTGACAAATCCATAAAATATATTTAAAAAAAAAAAAAAAAAAAAAGAGGGCCTTTGGAAACATTCACCTAAACCAGGCATTTAAACTCGTACTTCCCTCCAAGTAAACCCCCCCTAACATGGAAATCGCCAACGCACATCCGTATGCAGAGGAGAAGAGGTGGCATTCCCACTTCCAAAGGGATCATTGCCGGTGTGTGTCTAGTTGGCCGTGTCCCCGAGGGCCTAGGGCAAGCTGCACTGTACCCAGCGTGTGGAGAGCACCGGATAGGATATGGCATGTGTCACAGATGGCCTGCAAGTCCTCAGGCGGGAGGAAGAGAAAAGCGCCCCCACCTGCCCAGCTGAATCACTGAGCATCCGAGAGAGAAGGCTGTGCTGTTTGCGGTTTGAAGTCCTTCGGTGTCCACGTGCCCGGGAACCAGCCTGGCAAATTGTTAAAAACGATGTCCCTTTCTTCCTCCTCCTCTGCGCCCTGCCTGCCTCTCTGTGCCAGTCCAGGCGGATCAGATGCGAGCCTGGCCCCCCTCAGAGTGCCACTGACCTCCTGGCCGCTGTGACGTCAGCCGCCCAGGGTGCCCACTGTGACGTCACAGAAGCATATGCCACCGTCACTGCGCCCAGATTCTCGCGGACATCCTTAATAAATACTTTTATTATGGAGCATCATCATTCACCTGGTTGTGACTTAGAAGGGAAAACCATGTCCTCAAAGGTTCCTTTAGGAAAAAAAAGAATCCCTGTAACCTCAACAGCAACAAGGGCCGAGCACACAGAACCAGGCACTTCGGGCAAACTTGTTTTCTCCTTGACCCTCGCCCCCCTCCCTTGAATAAAATTTGCCAGGGCCTGTGGATTTCCTAACTTCAAGCCTTACTGCTTTAAAAAAAATGAGGTAAGAAATTCCCATCTACAAGGTCACACGGACACACACACACACACACACAACAGGCCGAGGCCTTCCCCGCCCGCGAGGCAGCGTTATTGCTGGAAGTTGGGGGGCTCCGTGTGCTGGCTGTTCGCAGGTGTGCAGAGTCCTTATTGCCATTCTGGCGGCCGCTGGTGGGCCGGGGAGAAGACGTGATGGAAGGGACCTGGTGGCCTGTCCCCCGGCCGGTCAGTCCCAACTGGCCGCCGGCCCGTGGCCCCCACCGGTTGGTTGGTTGGTTGATTGGTCGGTCGGTCGGTCGCTTAAGGCCCCCGGGGTGGGGGTCCCCCGCGGCCCTAGCAGCTGGGGGAGGTGGTGATGGGGCTGTGCAGGTAGGGCAGGCTGCTGGGGGCCGTGTGCACGCCCACCGACACCGGGAAGCTGAAGACGAACTGCGAGCTGGGCGTGCCGGCGGCCGGGCCGCGCTCGCACCGGGGCCCCGACGGGCTGGCGGCCTCGGCGGCGCAGGATGTGGCCAGCACCTGCGACTCGAACTGCAGCAGCTGCCCCATGAAGCTGAAGTTGGGCGAGATGATGCTGCGCCGCTGTTTGACGAACTCGAAGGCCTCCTCCAGCCGCACGCGCTGCTTCATCATCAGGTAGGCCAGGCAGATGGTGGCCGAGCGCGAGATGCCCGCCTGGCAGTGCACCAGCACGCGCCCGCGGCACTCCTTCACCGCGTCTGCGGGGAGGGGGGGGGGTGGTCAGCGCCAATGCCGCCTGAGCGGTGCCCATGCCCCCCAAACATCCTGCCCCGCCTGAGCAGTCCCCATTCCACCCTAAACACCTGCCCCGGATGCCTAGGCAGGTGGCCTGGCCAGCAGTGGGGAGGAAAGGAGGGGGGGGGGGGGGCTGGGCAGGTGTGGGAGGATGGGGCACGCCCATGGGAGGAGGGCAGGGAGGACCCTACAGGAAGGGGCTGTAGAAGCCCCACAATCCTAGGCTGTTTCTGAGACAGTCAAGCCCGTGCATTGAGTTTGGAAAAGACGCATGCTAAACCCCAGAACATTCGAGGATTTCTTTCCCCTTGCAGAAATAAAAATAATGACTCATGTCTTCCTTTCTTTGTCCTCCCCACCATCCCAGGAGCCTTGTCGTCAATGCATCTGGAGACATGGAAGGCAAAGGCTCTGCAAGCTAGCAGCATGGAGGTAGGATGGGGTTTCCCATCCCTGCCCAACACGCCATGCAACGAGCAGGCCTCCCTATGGGGTGTAGGGTGTGGGGTGTAGGGTGTGGGGTGTAGGGGGGGACAGACTACATCCTGGGAACCACCTCCCCATCCCCTCGACCCTCCCACGAGTTACAAATGATCCCTACCCTCCTGCCCACCCGGCCTTGGACCCAGTCCCTGCCAGGGCCGCCTACCGATGTACTCGATGGCCTCCATGAACCAGGAGCTGATGTCGGCCTTGTGGTTGTCCTCCACGGGGATGCACTTGTACTGGTACAGCCCCTCGAAGTGGTTCGGGCAGTCAGAGGACACGTTCAGCAGGGCCGTGATGCCCAGGGCGTCCAGCATGTCCCTCCGGGCGGCGTGGTAGGCACTGCCGAGGTAGAGGAAGGGGAGGATCTCCACCGGGCCCCCCTGCACCGGAGAGGGAAAACAGGCCCCCGACATCGTGAGTGCACAGCGGACAGGAAGAGGGCTGGGGTGCTGGGGCAGGGACAGGGCTTTTCACGGGCCCTGGGGAGAATGCCTGCACACAGCCCTTCCGGGCGTCCCTCATCCTGAGGAGGCTCCTAAAGGGAGGGGGAGGGGGCATGGGATTCCTCTAGCCTTTGCATTGCCCCCCCGCAGAGAAGCCAGGACAGGAGAGCCTTGTTCAAGCAGCCTCTCCCGTGAGGGAGGGAGGGACAGGCGCAGGGCCGGCTGGTCCACCATCTGTGACTTTAAGAGCTTACGCCTGCCCGTAACGGAGCTACCTGTTGGGTGGTTCTTAGTTGGATACTTCTTCACTTGTTACATCAAAAATAGATGCCATGCCAAAACTGGCTTGGCTCAGTGGATAGAGTGTCGGTCTGCGGATTGAAAGGATCCTGGGTTCGATTCCGGTCAAGGGTATGTACCTGGGTTGCAGGCACATCCCCAGTGGGGGATGTGCAAGAGGCAGCTGATGGGTGTTTCTCTCTCATCGATGTTTCTAACTCTCTATCCCTCTCTCTTCCTCTCTGTAAAAAAAAAAAAAAAAAAAAAATCAATAAAATATATTTTTAAAAAATAAATGCATGCCCTTGACCGGAATCGAACCCAGGACCCTTCAGTCCGTGGGCCGACGCTCTAGGAAGAATTCTAAGGAATAACTTATTCCTAACCCACCTTACAACCCATCCCAACAGCCAAAGCCTCCGAAAGCAGAGCCCGGGAAAGAAGCGCCCACACACCTGGTCGTGCAGTGGGGTTCCGCAGGAGCTGCAGCCCAGGTCCAAGGACTCGGCCGTGCTGGGGGGCGCTGCGGGCGGGATGGCTGCCAGCGCCTTGGTTTTGGAACAGAATTCTGGATACTCGGAGGAAAACCTCTCATAGCCACCTGTGAGGAGAAAGAAGTGCGGGTTAATGGGGTCAACTAAGCCAGCGGGGAAACCACCAAGAACTGGAGTTTTAGCCCTGCGCTGAGTGAGGAGAGCTCTCCCTGCCTTTACCACTGGGTGGCGCTGTGGGCCCAGAGATAATGGCTATGGAGCCTTTTCCGGAGATGCTGAGTCCACATTCAGCCAGGAGGGTAAGCTTTCCCCGTCTTGGTTTGGGAGTCAGACACACAGAGGAAGGTGCGCAGGGGGCGTGGAGAAGGGCCTTTTTTCCAGAAGAGCTTCTGAGGGTGATGGAATAGGCTGGGTGTCCATAAGCACAAGAAACCTGCAAAGATGTCTGTCCTTCCCCCACGTTAGCCCTTCCTTTGGAGAGCTTCAGTGTGGGGAGAAGAAAAAATGGTTACTCTTGGCACGAGCCCTGCTAGATCTCGGCAGCAGAGCGGATGCCAGTCGTCCAGCCTTGCAAACAGCTGTTCCACCGACAAGGGGCCAAAACGAGAGGAAATGGGCTTAAATCTAACTAAACCCTTCGTGCTACATACACACACAGGTTTGGGGCAAGGGAGGATTTCCTGACCTGAGAGTTGCTAAGCCCTGGGATGGTTATCCGTGAGATCGCCTTCCGGGGAAGGGAGATCTTTTCATGGAAAAGAGATAAACGTGTGGAATGGTGTCAGTGCCAAGCAGAGAGGCCCCGCTGGGCAGAGGCAGGCAGGAAGCCACTCCGATACGAGACATGCTCAGCCTCCACACGGAGGGATCCTGTGACCTCTGGACATGGCTCTGCAGTACCTCACCATCTACCGTCCGTGTTTGGCCCTGCTTGGGTATGCACTTTGCAGTTTCTGTAGGACCAAAGATGGGTTGTACATTAATTCAGAAGATGAAGGGGATCAAAACTTGGCCGCTGTAAGATAAATGAGTCCTGGGATGTAATGTACAGCTTGGTGACTGAAGCCATTAATATGGTATTGCACATTTGAAAGTTGCTAAGAAACTAGATCTTAAAGTTCCCATCACAAGGGAGAAAAAAAAAAGAAAGTTAAACCCTAGACAGTGACAGATGTTAAGTAGGCTTATTGTGGTGATCATTTGCCAATATAGTCAGTATCAAAACATTATGTTTTACACCTGAAACTAATGTTATATGTCAATTAAATCTAATTTTTTTAACCCATCAACTTACTTAAAGATAATTCGGTAGGGTCTGCATGTTGTGGGACAACTATTCTCATGGACCCCTTCAACAGATGGTCACGTGTGTGTAGCTAGTATCTTTAAATCTTGGTGACTAAGTGACATGGTGCCACTGTTCCCTGTAACATGCATCGTAATCTTCCAATATGCTGACATGTGATGGTTAGTCAATTTCTTGCCCAGAATTCCAGCCCCAGAAGCTGATTCTTTGCCACCTCATAAGGCTTACAGAAACAGGGCATGCATTTCTTCCTCTCTGACCGGAGGCTCTGACGGGAGGCCTTCCCCTCCTTCCTTCCCTCCCTCCCCAGGATATAAATGGCTATCTCTCTCCGGTCACAGTCACCTGCTCCTGCTGAGTCACAATGACCAGCCTCCCTGGACAGACAAGCTGCAGAGGGACCTACCCGTGGTACCAGTGTCAGGGGTTGGTTGGCTCAGCAGTGACCTCAGCACGGACTACTCTCCCTCCCATTATCACCCCCTCTGTCCCCACTTTTCCTTATACAGCTGCTGTGCCCCCCTCCCCCACAAACATCTGGGATGGGAAACCTTATAAATGCCTCCTCCCTTTCAGAGAAAGTGGAAAGGGAAATGGATCAGTCAACAGACCATATTGAACACCTATACAGAAAGTCAGCACGCAGCTCAGCGGAGTTGCTCAGTGGTTGAGCATAGACCTATGAACCAGGAGGTCACAGTTCAATTCCTGGACAGGGCACATGCCTGGGTTGTAGGCTCCATTCCCGGGGGGGCCGACGGGGGAGGGGGGGTAAGAGGGGGGACAGGAGGCAGCTGATCAATGATTCTCTCTCCTCATTGATGTTCCTATCTCTCTTTCCCTCTCCCTTCCCTTCCTCTCTGAAATCAAGAAAGTTATATTTTTAAAAAATAATACATTAAATAAAAATTTTAAAAGTCATCACATGTGACTGTATATTTCTAGAGGGTTTGAAAATTTCCAAATAAAATGACCCTTGTGTTTATTATGTTATCTGAACTATTAAAACACATTCCCCCCTGCACACACACACACAAAGAAATGTAAGCAATGAGTGGTGCCCTCCAGAAGCTGGTCACCTGGACAGTGGACCCACCCAAGAGCGAATGGCGGAGTCACAGGTGTGCCAGGAGTGCCAGGGCCAGGCTCCAGGGTCACAGAGAGGAGCACCCTGAGGGCAGCAGAAGGGCAAGGAGCCTCCAGTGGTTGAAAGAATGTTCCTCCCGCCTTAGCCGTTATGCTCAATAGTGTGTCCCGGGTTCAATTTGGGTCAAAGGCATATGCCCAAGGTTGCAGGCTCAATCCCCAGGAGGGGGCATGCAGGAGGCAGCCAATCAATGATTCTCTCTCATCATTGATGTTTTTATCTCTCCTTCTTTCCTCTCCAAAATCAATAAAAAAAATTTTTTTAAAAAAAGAATGTTCTTCCCAGGTACGGGAAGGGCACCAGACTGAAGTCTGGAGGGGACACAGCCTTTGCAGTCAGACTCACGGTCTGGGGCGGGCACTCCGCCGCTCTGAGCTCCTTCCTCCTCCACACACTGTGCTGGAACAGCCACACCAGCAGCGCATGAGGACTGACTGGGACGGCCAGTGCGCGCCTGGCCTCGGGGAGATGCATAAGGAAGGTTCCTTTCTGGGCACCTACAAGGGGACCCCAGCATTCCTGGCCACTTCCCAGGCTTTGAGACACCCTTCTTCTGGGCTTCATTGTGTTGGAGTCTTCAGACCCCATACTTTGCCAGCAGAAGGACAGGCACCACACTTCTGAACTGGGGACCCTTCCGGGCCTGGGACATCCGCTGCCTCTCAGTCTCCATCAACCGGGAGGTGCAGAGAACCCAAGTCAGAGGCTGACCCCGGGGGTGTGGCAGGTGGGGGGACAAGACAGAGGTGACCCGAAATGGCCAGTAAAAGACACTCAGAACAGAACAGAAACATGCTGGAAAGTCAGTGCCCTCTAGCGGGCGTTTAAAAAACAAGCAGAGAGGGACGTCAGTGAAGGAGCAGATCAGCAGGAGGGACAGGAGCACAGAAGGAAGGATCACCTCCGTGATGGCGGCAGCAATGAAAAGGGTTTTCCCTCCAGAGCTGTGGCTTTTGGGGGTCCGGCTGGTTGTTACAAAGGAGTGTCTTCTGGGGGGCAGGTGGCAGGTGGCTGCCCTCAGGCCAGGAGGAGCATGCAGGCGAGTGGGGTCCATGGACTCATGCAAGTTAGGAACCTCCAGTCTACCCTACAGGGCCACATCCAGGGTACCGGATCCGTGCTCATTAAAATGACGGGCACTCCTGAGAGGAAATGCTCACCACACCAGGCTCTTCCCATACATATGTCCAACCAGCGGCCCTTGGGGAAGGTGTGACCAGTTCCAATCTTACAGAAGAGGATGGACACTGAGGGGCAGGGCAGCCCCAGGGAAGGGCAGGGCCAGTATCAGCCCACTGGTCTCCGAGGCGGCTTCTGCCCAGCTGTCTGGAGCCCACCCTGGGCTCGCCCAGCTCTGCCTCCCTGGCGGTCCTCCCCCAGGGCACGGCCTGCTTGCTGGTGGCAGCTCGCAAACACAGTTTTCATGCAAAACCTCCCCGGCAGAACACGGCTGACATTTCACCGAACCCCACTTCTTTCCAGTGCTCTCCTACCTCACCAGCATTTTAAACTTAACGAGATAAAACAGGAGCTACTGGAATGCATTGGCATTTAAAGACGCTATCATTTCATGAATTCTGGTTTCAGGTTTGTATCCCTGTACTGGGTCAGGGTGGAAATGGAAATGAATTTACTGTGGGGGTGGGGGCCCTCAAAAGATGCTCTCAGGCCCCCGGGTGCCTCCCCTCCTCACTCCCAAACCCAAGCCACAGTGCTGTAAGAGCTCCATTTTAAACACAATGTTTTATCCAGACCTTAGGAGGAGAAGGCTTATTCCAGCATGACGCTGCGGGCTAGGCCGGACCCATGCCTCCTGCAGGCGCGCACAGAGGGCAGGGTGCGGGCGCCAGCAGGAGCTGGAGCATGCAACTTCCCTCGTGACCCTTGTATTTCCGCCCTCAGAACAGAAGGGTCTCAGACCCTCTGTCCTCTGAATTCCTCCATGGTCACAACTTACTTGTTTGCAAACGACACACGGACATGATGTGCAAGATCCGCATTGTTACCTTAAAGCAATGTCATTGCTGATTCCGCCTGCTTCTTCTATGCCCGATTGAATGCCATCCCTCAATGTACTCCGGCCCATTTGGACCTGTTTCTCCCATGTTCTTATTTAAAAACAGGCTTTCTGGCCTTGAAGTTCTGATTTTCTCATCTTACGTTTAAAACTGGACTGTTTTTTCGGGGGGGGGGGGGTATACTTTCTCAGCCAACTTCATTCAGGAACATTTCTAGTTCAACTCCATGCTCTCCTTTTCTCACACACCCGCACAGCAATGCACTTTTACCGACAATGATGGCTGGCTGTCCTCCATGCAGGGCTGGGAGGGTATGTGTAAGGTGCTTTCGGAAAGGACAGGCTGATGCGGTGCTGATCCCATCATCATAATAGGGCCCTTAATGAGGCCTGTGATGGCAAAGACCCGGGTCACCAATGTTCATGTGGCTGCTGCTTCCCCCCCTTCCCCCCATAACACTCAGCACATCACCCTTCACAGTCAGAGCTTGGGGCCTGGCTCTCCAGAGACATCATATCAACACAAAGCATATCTTGCCAGCAAAGCCTGAGGTCATTTGAAGGTCATTTGGCTTTGAGCACTTCCCGAGAGGTGGGTGTGGACTCAGTAAGCACCCATGGAATGCTGAGCGGTTTTCAGTTATTAAATGGTACTTCCGTGGGCTTCTCGCCACAAACCTGCCTGCCCTGGGACGACAGTTGGCGGACACCGAAGGCCCCACTCGGCTGCATCTTGTCTGGATCTTGTCCCAGTCCTGTTTTGTCTGCGGGGTTCAGCAAGCCGGCTTCCGTCCCAGAGTGAACTTTCCTTCCTGTCAGACTTCCTCTCTGTTAGGTGGGAACTGCCTCCCAGTAAGGAGGCCAGCTATCTGGTTTCAGAGGGCCTGACTTTTTAAAGAAATGTCGTGGCTCCTTGAAAAAGGCCGCCCTCCTCCCTCCCTCCCTCCCTCAGCATCCGTGCAGCAGTCTTGGTGGGTGATAAGCACCAGGGACAAGCCCAAGGGAGCTGTGATGGGCTTAGTAAGGATGATGTTTTCACTCTCAATTTACAGGGACACTGTAAGTTACTTTTGTGTTGGAAGCATCCAGTTCAAATGATGCAAAAAGTAGTGAGTTTGCTTCATTCGTTATAACTCTTAACAAATTACAATTGGGGGTAGAACTTATCTTTAGAGCCTACTTTTTTTCTTTCTTTTTTAATTCTAACAATCCTTGGCTGTCACAGGCACTGTCTTATTTGTAAAGAGAAAAGCCAGTCCCTTTGGGTGGAAGAGCTGTGCAACCTCACTCAGCATCCTCTTCCCCTCCTTTCCGCCGCCCCGCCCCCTCCCCTGCCCCCCCATAATTGAGGCTCTGCTGTTAACCTCCTGGAGACCTGAGATGGGCTGGACAAGTGGGGACAGAGTGAGACAAGGAAGAAGACAGTCACCAGAGTTACCAGGGCTGCTGCCTGAGCCCCTTCAGGCCCACACCCTGTCCTTCACCCTCAGTGGCTGTTTTCTACAGAAATTGCGCTGTCACCCTCTGAACGGTTGGTCAGGACTGGAGCCCATGGGGCCCATGAGTTCCAGCAGGGAGTGAACAGCTGGAAAACCTGGTGGATGCTCTCACTTCCTCAGCTTTTCTATCAGAACCTGAAGGTCTCACAACAGTCTTGAGCTGAGATGGATTTTAGACAGGAAAAGGGGAAGATAATGTTTTTATACCTGAAATCTCCTGCATAACAGACTGATTTGTTATTTGGGGAAGATGGGTGATAAGGAATGACTTCCATTAGAGTTAAAAAAAAATCTCTTTTTGTCTTTCTCTGAAGACCAAGGTGTGTGTGTGGGGGGGGGGGGGGGGGGTCTAAAACCCTAATCCAAGGATTTATGAAGGAAAGGGGGATTTGAAAGGAGAGGTGTATTGTAATAAAAGCTGAAAAACTGAAATTTCTAAACTGTCCTTAAAAATACCTCATAGGATTTTAAATAAACTTAGCTTTTTAGAAAGGTTTACCTCAATGGGAATTTTACTTGCAAAAAAAAAGGACCAGAAAAACATAGTGATTTGGGTTATTGCTTTTAGCAAAACTTGGCAGCATTTTATTGGTATTAAGGAAAGTTTACTCCTAACTCTGAATTCATACCTGTGGTATTAGTTATGAACCACCTGCAACTGCCCCGTCAAAGAGAAATAGAAAAATCAAAATTTTAAACGGAATTATAATTGGTAGAATTAGATAGGCTTTGGCCAGGAAGGATAATGCAACTTCTGAACATACCCTGCTGTCTTTATTGTCTCTCCGGAGGGCAGACGCCAACAACGGGAATAATGCCTAACCACTCCACACCTTAATGCCTAACCATGCCACCACACATGACATGAGACACACAGAAAAGCCCAGGAGCTGCAAAATGAAATGAGCTGCTCCAGCGGGAACCAAATGAGCGAACCCCTAATCAATTCGGGTATTGACTGAAGATCATCTAAGGCTTTTTCCCATGTTCCCCTTTATTTAGCTCCCTATCCCACCCCACAACCGGCATGGCCTCCACTCCGCTGCCTTCCGCTGGGGGTGCAGGAGGCACCCATTGCTTTCCTCCCCAACACTGCACCTTCCCCAGGCGTGTGGGGACAGACGCTGCCCAATTCCTTTCTGTCCTCGGGTGAGAGCCTTTTCCAGGAAAAGGCAGAGAGAAGGAAGAGGAACTGTGTTAAGAGGGCCTCCACTTAGCACATATATGACCATAAGCTCAGTTAACCAGATGATGACCCAGGTAACAACCTCCAAGACAGCCTGCCAGCGCCACAGAACCAGCTGGGAGCCACAGAACCAGCTGGGAGAGCCACAGAACCAGCTGAGAGAGCCACAGAACCAGCTGAGAGAGCCGGGCCACCCTGAGAATGCCAGGCTGGGCTGCCAAAGGCAGGTTCCCTCTGCTCCAGCCGTCGGCCTCCTGGCTACGCCAAGACCTGCTCCTGAAGAGATAGGTTGAACCTGAGACCCAGGCCCAGACACTCTGCAACTCAAAGAGTCTGTGGACTCTGAGATGCATAAGGTCGCCCTGCCTGCCGCACCAGATCGGACAACAGGAGGCAGTGCAGGCCTGGGAGGCAACAGCCTTTGGAGAGCTGCTTCCCAGTGGGCCAGGCGCCTCACCAGCCGCCAGGGGACTGTCATTTTACCCAGAAGCTCTGGTCCTACCCAGTCTATACATTAGCATTTGCCTCGTGCAGAGTGGCTGGTCTGATCTGGCTCTTTGCTCTCCCCCGATGGGGTTAGGGGGGACCCAGGGAGATGCCGCAAGCCAGAGGAGGAAACTTTAAAAATATGCATCCAGGAAGGGGGCCTACGTGTCTGCGTGCCCGCCCGAAAGCCCCAGGGCCAAGGTCCCCAGCTGCCGCCCTGGGGCGGACCCCTCCGGATTTCTTCCAGGAAGAAAAATTAAAAAACAAAAACGAGTTCAGACTTCACGTGGGTCTGCCCTCCCATCAGGAGGAAGCCCAGGGCAGCACAGCAAGCAGAACACCCGTCCACCCCCCTCCAAGCGAAGGGACTTTCATCCCAAAGCAATTTCTCCCCTTGGTCCCTCCAAGCGCCCGCACGGACGGTCTCACCGGGACCTGGACCGGACACAGGTCCCCGCGGCGCCGGCCCCTCCCTGGCACTTTCTCCCGAAGCGCTTTGGGAAGGAGGGAGGAGGACCGGGCTCCACCGGAGGTGCAAAAAGGCAGCCTCCCACGGAAAGAAAAAAATCAGCAAAATCGCCTTCGTGGTTCAGCCACAGGTCAACAGCAGCAGCGTTTCCCCAGCAGCTGACAGGTCAAATGGCCAGGAAACAACTGCCGGGAACAAAGCCCCCCGCTGTTCGCCAGGGCAGCCCGGCCCGTCGCCACCGGGCAGTTCCGCGGAGCCTTTCGGACAGGGTGGCGGGGAGAGGTTTCCGCCCTCCCCCCCCCCCATCTATTCCCCCCATCTCTCCTCCTCCCGGGCGAGCGGGCCGAGAGAGGAAGGGAAAGGAGGGAGGAACCCTTCTTTGAAGGCTGAAGCCTGAGACGCCCCCCGGCTGGGGCCGCCGCACGGACGGGGCGGAGGAACGCGGCACGCGGCGGCCGGAGCTGGGGCGCATCGCGGCCCGGGGCGCCCTGGCTCCCCGCGCCCCGCGGCTCCTCCCGGGCCCGGGCCCCTGGGGGCAGCGGCCCGGCCCGGAGCGCAGGTGCGGCCGGCGCGCCTCCCCTCCGGCTCCTTGGACGGCACGGCCAGACCCTCCTCTCCAAAGAGTTCCACCAGGGCTCCCTTACACCAAGCACGCCTTCCACCCGACCCTCCGGAACGGGGTCTGAACAGAAGGTCGTCCTCCTCCGCTGCCTATGAAGCAGGCACTGTCCCGCCGCCTGGCGTTCCCCAGACACACACACTCCCCCCCCCCCCCCCCGCCTCCCGCGCCGGGGGGCCCGGGGCTCGCTCGGCAGCGGAGGGAGCGGACCACCTTTCGGGAGGCGCTCGGAGTCTGGCGGCAGCGGGACACATACACATACACACACACACACACACACACACACACACACACACACATCGCTCCGCGTCCTGTCCGCACCCCGATCTTCCTGGTGCATCTCCCAAGGGCAGGTTCCCGATGGAACCGGCGCGCTCGCCGTCCTGCACCCTCTCCTCGCCTCCTGGGTTCCCGGGGTCGGACCTCAGTCCAGGGCCTGGGCACGCCAAGCCCGCAGGCCTACCCTGTCCCAACCCACCCGCACGCACAGGGACTCTTAGGGGCACTGCCCTGGGAGGCGAGCAAACGCGGAAGAGGCGCCGGACCGTTAACGGGTGTAAACAAACGCACGGCCGCCAGGAAGGGTGCGGGATGGCAGGTGACGGAGGAGGAAACGCGCCCTCGCCGTCCCACCCCCCGAGGACCTTTGGAGCGCGCCCCAAACCCGGGCAGCCCCCGTGCACACTGGGGCGCACAAAGGGGTTCGCGGGGATCCCCCCCGCCGCCACGAGTCCCTCCTCCAGGCACTTCCTCCCCCGAGGCCACTCGGACGCAGGCCGCCTGTCCAGCCCGGACACACGGCCCTCGGAGCCGCACCCGGCGCCCGCGCTCACCTTTGAGCAGGCAGATGTCGGTGCGCTCGGCGTTGCGGCGCAGCGCCTGCACCACCAGCGACACGGTGCTGTCCTCGCGGAGGCTGTCGGCGCGCGGGCTGCGCTCGTCGTAGACGATGACGGCCGAGTAGAGGCCGGAGCGCAGGCGGGAGCGCACCTCGTCCTCGGCGGGCAGGATCTGCTCCAGGCTCACGGCGCCCTTGGCCCGCCGGCGCACGATGGTGTTGCAGCGCACGTTGACCGAGCCGCGGATGGCGCCCGCGCTGTGCGCCAGGAACGGCCTGCAGTCCAGCAGCAGGCACTTGGCGCCGCTCGGCAGCCCCAGGGCGCCGCCGCCGCCGCTCTCGTCCCGGTTCATCAGCCTCTTGAGCACGCTGCAGTCCATCTCCCGCAGCTCCTCCACCGTCACCATGGTGGCCGGGGACCGGGGCTGCTGCTGGCACGCGAGGAGGCGAAGAGCGGCCGGGACAGCTGGGCTGCAGGAAGGGGCGGGCGAGGGCTCAAGCAGGGCGCGTGCAAAAGTGGCCAGAAACTTGGGCCCCCGGGATTCACACCGGAGACCGCCTTGTCCCCGGGATCCTTCCTTCCTTCCGCGGTCCTCGCAGTCACATAACAGTCCGAGCGGCCTCGGGCAGCGGGCAGCACCCCGCGCGGTGCGAGGGGGAGGCAGCGGGGCAGGGGACCGTGTGGACGGGAGCGGGGCGAGGGCTCCCTTCTGCCGGGGCCTCTTTGTATGTTGCCCGCCGGGCTTCTCCCGCCGCCGCAGCCCGGGAGGAGCAGCCGGAGCTCGGCGCGCAGCCCCTGCCAGAGTTCCCTCCTCGGCTTAGCGATGTATTAATGCTCCCTGGCTCTCCCCCGGGAGCCGGCCGAGTCAGGACTACCTGGCGAGGCCCCGCCCCTTTCCAGCGGGGCCGCCCGCCCCCGGCTCGGGCTCCCCGCCCCGGCCGCGCTCCCCCGCCCCCGCCCCCGCCCGCCCGCCCGCGTGAATGGATGGAGCGCGGGCCGCTCCCTCTTGGTCACGAGGCCGCGACGTCACAAAGAGCGGAGTAAACGGGCCGCTGGGCGCTGGTCGCCAGGCCCATTCATAAAACCGGGGCCCGGAGGAGGGAGAGGGAGGAGGGAGAGGGAGGAGGCCTCCGACCCGCCGGGCGAGCCGCGCGCCGGCACTTTGTGAATGGAGCGCGGCCGCGGCGCTGCTCGCAGTCGGCCTGCGGGCGCGGGCCTCCGCCACCGCCATCCACCCAGGGCCGCGGCCTCGGGCAAGAAGAAAGGAGCCGGCTGAGAGCCCGGCCTAACGGAGGCTAGGGATCGGTTTTGATCCTTTTTATCTCCTTGCGCCCGGCTTCCCCATCCCCTCTCCTCCCTTCCCCTCCATCCCCCCGCCCCGAGCCTCGCTAGCCTCCCTCCCGCTTCAAAGAAGCTTAGTGGTGCCTGCGACCTCTTCGCCCCGGATTGACGGAGTGCGTTGGGCCCGGCTAGCCGTTTTTTGTTGTTGTTGTTTTATGTGGAGTTTTTTTGTTTTGTTTTTTTGCAAGTGCGATTCCTCTGACGTTGGCTTATGCATTAGTGTGATCGATTTTCATCTTGGGCCATTAAATCGCTTTATATAGCTTCCCGAGGACGTGGGCAAGCCCCAACGTAGAAGATGAAAGAAAAAATCCCTCCCGCCCCGAAGTCCAGTAATGGGGAGCGGGGTGTTGGGTGCGTTGGTTTAAGGTCCAAAGGGAGGGGTTCATTGATTCATTGCGGGAATGCTGTTCCTCTGGAGGAAGGCAGGGCGTCGCTCCGGACCACGCTTCCTAAAGATGCTTTTTAACCCTCGTAGACTGTATATATATTATATTTATTTACTTATGTGACTTTTGGAAAAGTCCTCACCCCTTATTGCACAAGTGCAAATTGTCTTCTCGGGAAATAACCATGAGGGCCCACGTCTGGTGCGAAGCTAGACCCTGGGGAATTTACCGTCAAGGGTTTCATAAGCTCTGGGGCAGACTCAGGCTCCGGTCTTTGCGTCCCCTTTCCAGGTCAGGTAGCGTGCCTCCCCCCCCCCCCCCACCCCGCTGCTCCCCATCCCTCACCCCGTTTTTTACTTATGCATTTGATTTCCCAGAAGCCGCTTTGGTCAGGGGGCTTGTGTGCGTCGCGATGCGGACACAACAAAAGCCAAAAATGACTCCTCCGACATCTTGCCAGGTCTTGTTAGTGAGAACTAACCAGCGAGCGGGAAACCCGCAGGACGCGCTGGCGACGGGGAGGCTCACACTCCGGGTCCGAGTGGAAGCCAAGGACGGAACCTTCCCAGAGTCTCCCACCCGCTGCTGGCCTTCCGCCTCCCTTTGTTCCCGGCTGAGCGGCGAGCGCTCCCGATCTCTCACCTCCGACCCCGGGGCCACCCCTCCATTCCCTTCCTGAGCCGTTGGGGGGCCTTCACTTCCGACGCCGGGGGCCCCGCTCCTCCCCCCCTGCGCCACGCATCTCCCGGCACCCGGCAATCTTCCCTTTACCGGGCTGCAAACTGGCTCAGGGAGGCATTGCACTGATCCTATGATCTTATCTCTGTTTAGAATTTACTATCTTGTTCAACATACTTGTTTGGGGGTATTAAATCCTTTGGATTTTACTAATCTCATGAAAAAACACACACACACACATTAAGTAAACTTAAATATAATTTTTTCCTGATTATCCATCCTGTAACTAGATGAAAACCTGTATATTTTTGTTATATCTCCTCTTTATTAAATAAAAGGTAGTCTACTCTAGTATGTATGTATGTGTGTGTATATATATATATATATATATATATGATATTCATTTTGAGCCCTGACTCTGGTGCCCTTCATTTCTGCGCCCGGGGCGCGGTGCTCACGCCGGGCACTGTGTGCGGGGGGCGGCCAAAGGCCCCCCAGGCTTGGCCTCTCGGGGATGAAGGGGTTTGTACTCCCTCCCCAGGACAAAGACAGGGGGCACTGTAGGTTTCTCTTAGACTGCAGTGGCTGCGAGGCTCTGTCCAAGCCCGGCTCTACCTGGCACACCGGGAGTGCGCCTTTCTAAGGGGTCCCCGTGCCCCGACCATCCAGGGATCATCTGGCCCCAGCCGGCCCCCTCCCCGCGCCAGAAACACCGGCGCCTTCACGCGGGCTTGGACAGAACATCTCAGCCGCAGGCAGGTCGGGCCAAGGTCGCACCGGTCGCAGGAGCTGGGGACACGGGGCCGCCCCCGCCGCGCGCTCCTCGCCTTTGTCTCCCGGGCGCCCGGGCGGCCCGGAGCTCACGTGGCAAGGAAACAAGTCCAATCCGGGGGTGGGGGGTGGGGGGCAGAAGGCTCAGGGAACAAAGGCTTGCTTTCTGCACCTGACAGTCCCCCGCGGTGGCGAACCCCGTACATCCCGCAGGAGATCCGCAGGGAAGAGGGGTGGGCGGGCGCGTGTGCGCGATGCTGTGCCCACGTGTGCGCGCCCGCGCCGGGGAGGGGCGCCTGCGCTTCCGACCGAAAGGATGAAAGCCAAGAGCCCCCGTGATAAGAACGCGAATGCCTGATTTGGGAAAGAGACTAATTTTTTATTAAAAATTCTCTCTCCTCGACTCAGGAATTTGCTGTCAATTGTGTGCGTTTCAGTCAATGAGATTTAAATGTTGCATTTTATCCGGATCCTTTTGAAGCAATCTAGATAATTATTTTTTCATTTTTGGTTTTGGTTCCTTTGGGAACACAGTTGAATGAATATAACGTTAGGACTACTCTATACCTACCCCAACGAAAGAGAAGATAAAACGTCTCAATTAGTATGCAGGCTGGGGGTCGAGCCCTTAATCAGTGGACACAGGGACTTGTGAAACAGCTTGTCAGTGAGATCTTGGAGAAAACAAAGGCATGGAAGACATTGTTTGAATATCGCTTCAAAGTTAATTTAATGAACGAAGACATATCTTCTGGAGTTGAAATGGGATTGCCCAAGGAGAGATATTTTATTTATATTCAGCAATACACCTCCGGGTGAAAAAAAATAATTTAAAAATGTACCGTGACGTGTGAAACCAACTTCTTTTTCATCAGTCTGTCCTTAGACCACGGCATTAGTCACTGTCGGGCCTGGTAAAACCTGTGTTCTTGTTTAAGAACATTTCTTACCAATTAGGAAGTTGTGTGAACTGGGAACTCACAGCCCAGAGGACGCTCCCCAGAGAGGACCATGGCTTCTATTCCGGTTTTAATGCCAACCTCTGACTCACTGCCCTGTCCCAAAGTGCCTGAATGGAACTTGCCTGAAAAATCGTTATTGAATTAGTCAAGGTGACCACGGTAAGGAAGGTCCTGTGGGGTCCCGTGTGCATGGTGTGAGCTGAGCAGGAGAGCTCCCTGTGAACGCCATGCCAAGTTCCAGCAGCCCTCTCCCCTCACTCCCCTACGCCAGGCCCACTCAAATGGCACTACTCAGAGAACAGGCTCAAACTCCTTTCTCTTCTGTCCCTCCTGTGCTCACGGACAGCAAAGCTGGTGGGGTTTTTTTTGTTTGTTTGTTTGTTTTGTTATATATATATATTACAGAGAGGAAAGGAGAGAGAGAGAGCCAGAAACATTATTGAGAGAGAAACATCGATCAGCCACCTCCTGCTTAACCCCCACTGGGGATGTGCGGGCAACCAAGGTACATGCCCTTACCGGAATCGAACCTGGAACCCTTCAGTCCGCAGGCCTATGCTCTATCCACTGAGCCAAACCGGCCAGAGCTGGTGGTTTTTATTTATCTGTTTAGTCAAGCAAGCGATAATGTCCCATGCCAGTTCTTCAGCTTTTCAAAACCAAATATTGGGAACAAATGCTTCTCCAAATAGAAGATAAAAATGGACCCAGCAGTTTTGTTGTTGTTAATCACTCTAGCTAAGAATACTTGCCTAGTTATCCAACAAACATGTTACATTCAATGAGGGAAAGAAAGTTGTCTATGCCTTCCAATAGTTTATAATCTAGGTGGTCTGGTCAGGGTGTGGTTGTCATGGTACGTTATGGGAGGCAGGATTTAATAAATGTCCTTGGGAAAGAACAAACAAAATGTGAGGGGAATTCAGTCAAGAAAGGAATTGAACCGTGTTCTGGGATTGGGGAAATGAAGGAAAAATTCCATTGTGCAAAAAATGCATCTTATCTACTTACTTGTTACCCTGGGGTTTTTTTTTTTGTTTTGTTTTTTTTAGGGTACTTTTTTTTTTTTTTTTTATCCCATCTCTGATATTTATTCTGTCCTTGTGCCTTATATCTTTTGCTTTCATTTGTTAGCCTCTTTCTTCCCCGGTGGTTTTGCCCGCTAAAAATAGATGAACAATTGGTCTGAAGCTGCAAGGGAGCCAAGATGATGCAAAGGCTCTGTAGAAAATCTATGCCGTGGACCATGAGCGGTGGGGCTGTGA